ATATATGGCCTTAAGTTTTAACACATGTGTTAAAAATATCAAAAGCATCAAAGGTATGTTGCAGGTTAAAGAAATATACTTCTAACATCTGATTTTTTAAAATAGCATTCTTTTCTCCTTAAAAGGAGATCAGCATACAGAAAATATTACCAGATAAATCTAGTTAAAAAGCGATCACTGATGACAAAATTGCCCTAATGATTTCCTCAAACAGAAGTTTGGGAAACCGTATCCTGATATAATATAGGGATAGCATGTATCCAATCTATTCTGGGTTGTATATTATATATCAGTAATTATGTGTCACCTTAAAGAAGCACCAGGTCAGAAATTCAAATAATGAAATAATTGATATATTAAGCAAGCAGGTGAGGTATGTATAAACATCACATTGTAAAGTAAGAAATTTGGCGAAAATATATAGAACATTTTAATGAATCTGCTTCCTGCGATTCTTTTAAATCACATAATTATGTAGAGTTTATGTCATTAATTAGACTGATTCATCATTACAGCAAGAGAAAGAACATACATTTATGAATTAAACAAAAGACTAGTGAAGACATGTTCATTAATGATCAAAGCTATTCAAGAAGCAAACATATGGAACATCTGCATTCTTTGTCTGACTCTACACTCTGGGCCCACTGAAAAGCTCTAGCAAAATCCTTTCATCTTTATATCTACTATCCATATATCTTCAATCATCCTATCTTCCATTTCCAGTTGGTATCTAGAATACATCAGTCATTTACCCGTGATTAACAGAAAAATAAATTTGTTACTTGGCAAAACTTGCATAACCAATTTAATCAAAAGTATATTTCATTTTTTATTCAAACTTCTGGAGCTAGAATAATGGCAGATATGGCAAATATGCTTCAAATGAAGTCGTTATAAAAATATTCCTACTCAAGACTAGGAAAATCATTGACTGGATTGAGAAGTAATAAGATTATCAATTAGAACCTATTTAACTATCACAAGTTATTATATGTCATCTGACCAACCAATTGAATATGCCTGTATGTTTACAATAATACATACATATCAAAATATATCATTAATTTGCTTTATTATTGATGAACCTTCAAATTGAAAGAGCAATGCTCTTGGAAATTTATGTCTTCAAATGAGAAAAATTCACTTGTGATTAAATATAACAAACACAAATTACTCATAGTATTGTGTTACTTTGTTAATATCTAAAATAAAAAATAAATATATGCAGTAAAAGTATAACATAACCTTCACTATGAATTGTTTAACTGTCAGAATTTCTTTTACTTTGTTTCAACAAATCACAAAAACCTTTTTTCAAAAAATTATTCTTCCTATCAAAACAACCTCAACATTACAATATTATAAAAAAAGAACTCCCATTAAAAGATTGAAATAATAAACTTTGACAAAATGTTTGTTTTTTCATTTATTCATTATTTTTCCCTATTATTCACAAATTGAAAAAAAAAACATATCAGATGATGATGAAAACAAATCATGTTACAGATAGGTAAACAAAACAGAGATCATCTATCATTGACTAGAGAGCTTATTGTCATCCCTTCAAACAACAGTAAAGTATTACAGGGTAAACCTTTATTTCAGCTTAACTGATCTAACTTACAATTCATAATCTTTGGCTTAGCCAATATCTCCTAAATAAATATATATATACAATGTACACATGTATTGCATCAGGATATTGTTACCATGGCTGTTGTATGATCGATAGTTTTGAAATTATCACAATATTTTTTTTTTTAAATTATGAAAATAATTTTATTCTTTTTTTCCTCTGTCATTCACTTTTCATGAGTCTTAACGCTAGAAAACAAATAAAAATATTATCTCTTTTTTTTTCTTCATCTAAAATAATAGATATGGCAGTGCATGAGCATAACAATTACTTGTAGACTAAGATTTTATGGTTTGCAAAATGATAATAATTTTACAAAGTTTCATTTGATTAGAATTTTGCCGCTAAGCTACTGAAGATCTACAGAATACTGACAGGTGGTTGATGATCTTAATGCAGATATACAGGTATCTCATATTTTTCTTAACAACAATAAATCCCAACAAAAGTAAAAGTTATTATCAGTCACCATATACAGCCTTTCCTGCTTCTCTTTACCTGGAACTTTTAATGTAATTACAGTACTATTCAGAACATATCTCTTTAAAAGAAGCAAGTAATAAGAGTACTTTTAATTTACTCACAACATTTTTCATGGTATTGCCCTTTCTTACAAACAATTAATAGCTAGCACTTAAATTATTTTTAAAATGTGAAGAAAATATCAAAATCAACCGGAATCTTCAACCACAGAGTTATCTGATACTATTCAATTTAATCCAAAAATATTTAAGCAAGAGTTTTCTTAAAGAGGCATAACCTACATAATTAAGAATAAATGGGATGTGAGACAGGAAAAAATATATAAGGGACATAACTCTCAGAAAAATCATAAAAAAAAAATAAAAAATAAAAAAAATATTTTTCTGAATTAACTTCTCTTATTAAATAATAACAGCTGTTTTTATAATGAGAACAAACCAAAAAACCAAAATGTAGACAAAGGCCAAGAAAAAGTATATTTGAAATTGAGTAGTTAATGATCAACATTTCTTGCTGGCATCCTACGATATATGTCTTGTTAAAGTATATGACATAGTTATTCATACACCTGCTTTAAGATACAAACCTGGCAAAGCTGTCGTACATATATCTGACCATTGAAAATAAGAAAAGAACAACAGCCAATAAAATTCAGCCAATTTCACTTCTGTATTGCTGTGAGATTCATTTCACCTTGTATCAAAGATAACACAGTGACATGTAGCCAGGATTCCAAAATTATTTGCAAGCCAGCAAATTCAAAGTCTTATGTTTTGCCATGAAATATTCAAAAGTAAAGTGACTATATATTCATATAAAGAACAAAACCTATGGATACCAACAGATTAGAGCAACACAAAGAATTATGTTTGTCACTAATCTAACACAGACTACCTTAGGTAAGTTAAAACACAAAATTTACCATAACATATCCCGCCTGGAAACAAAGTAAAAAAAATAAGTTATGTCTTTCATATATAATTAATCCCTGTTCATGATAACACCTCATATGGACTTCATGAGAATTTTTGTGGTTGAACTGCATGTCCAACCATAGCATAAATACCAAAAACATTTTACTTGGCCTTAATGGTATCTCTAACAATCTATTGAAAAATTTCATGGTATAATGTATAATAAAATGGCAAAAAAGCTTTTCTTTAAGACTTCCCACACTTTGAAATCATCTATTTCAGATATTCCAAGACTGCTTTACAACATGTAGTGACTATACAAAGTGATAGCAGACAGTTAACTAAAATGAGTAATGAACTTAGTCTAATGATCATGAAAGCCATAATAACATATATCAATATAGGATGGATTTCTGTCGACATGGCAGTGCTCTATTTATGTCATGCGTATTTATTTTCATAATAAATTAGATATATAACTAATACATTAAGATTTTTAAATTCAATTAAACTGTACATCAAAAGTAAATCAAAGTTAACATATATTTGATACAAAATATTCAAGCAATACATATAATGGTTTGAAATAAAATCAATACATATATTTGTGAAAAACAAACAACATGAATTGCAAAATAATCAAAATTCAGTCACTTCTGGATAGTATTTCTAAGAAATTTGATAATTATTAGAAAATGTAGCCTGGACACAGAAAGGAGTCAGACACACATTAAAGAACATATATTTTTAATAGCAGAAATTAAAAACTGGAGCCCATTTCCAACAGTACCTTGGTACCCATATATGTGTTACTCAATTATCCTTCCATAAAAAACTGTCTTCGAAAATTAAAATGAGGCACAGTTACTAATCTAAACCACAGAATTTCTATCGGGTTATATAGAAATCATGATTTCTTCACAACTACCAATGACATATTCTTTCCAAGGTTATCAGGAAACCATTTCACATAAAACTGAACCTCCTTTGACATATGATGGCTAATCTGCATATTAAGCCTTATAAATCCTAATATATCATCAGTTTAAAAATGCAATAGGTATAGCTCTATGATGACCTAGTATTAGAAATACAGTCTTGAATTCTAAATATTGAAACCACTTTCAGAATATTTTTATCTGTTTTCAAACTAAAAAACCTTATGATTTCAAGTTATCTCATTTGAAAACAGAATTTACCCTTTGGGGTATTGAACCCACTAAATCTTGAACGTTTGTTACATACAACTGGTAAAAATTCATATATCACATAATACTGAATTTCTCCTATCAATTTAAGGTTGAAGAAAGGGAGAACATTTCTGGTTGTCCAGTGTATCATTTTTCTTTCCATATTTTACTGTTTATATCTTAAGATTGTAGAATTACTAGAGACATTGTTTAACTTTTAAACTTCACTGAATATTAATTACACCAATATCAAGGCCATGAGAAGGAACATGAAAGTTAAGCCTATCTTTTTTATTACAGTATTAGTATTTTGCTTAAAGTTAATCTAAGTTCAGCAACAGGAAGGTTACTACCATCTCTTTTCTATGCGATCATACTACTATGAATTGTCTGATCAGACATGTTAAGGTTACATATTAATTGACCAACCTTAATGGTTTTTTTTTTGTTTTTCAATTACTCTTGTTGATTACAGCATTAAACCCCTTGCATGTCTGGGAAAATAGGAGACATTATTTCAAGCTGGTAACATTCATCTTATGATTGCTTGAATAAAAAATCATCTCAATAAAGAACTGAACACTTTAAATTTCAGCAATTATATGCAAAAACAATATACAATTGTATCCAAAAAGTAAAACAATACAAAAACTGTCAGAGAAACAATCCAAGATTGAACGCTTCGACAAAATTGGTATAACTTCTTAAAACAAAAAAATTATCATTTGATATTTTGTCAAAAGCCCTTTCCAACTTCTAAAACATGTTCCTAAACTGATCTTTTTGTTATACTGATGATTCATATGAAATACTCCTGCGTGAGGGATGTTGAGCAGGAAGGGGCATCGGAAAGTCCTCTGGTGTGAGAGCTGGTGGGGTCATGGGGGAAGGTGATATAACTGCCTTGTGGCTGTGGTTGGTGGGACTTATAGGTGTGACTGGTTCAGATTCCGACTTTGATCTTGACCTTTTGAAGGAGAACCTCTTTGGTGAAATAGGGAACAAGCCTGGTGAGGCATGATGATGATGATGACTTGGTGATGAGTTATTAGTTGTGTTAACACTAAGACTACGTATTCGAGCAAACAGTTTTTTAGGGCGTGATTTTTTTGAGACTGGTGATATGGGGGAAGTTGGAGATGGAGATGTGTCAGTGGAGCTTGGTAGTGATAAAGTATCATCTCCATTCCATGTCCCTAGAGGTATGTTCTCCATCTCCTCCTCGTCTGGTTTCATTATTCCAACCTCGTATGCGACCACAGAGGCATGGTCTAACTTCCCTGGGGCCTTCCCCATCTTATCAACAATTTCTGAATCCCTGCGTTCCTTGTCCTTCAATGTCATCTTTCGTCTGACATATAAAGCTGGATTTTCTAATATTTTTCTTTTAGAGTCTGTAAGAGAAAGAACATGTTGTACTAATGCACCACAGAGTTCTTGGGCAGAACAAGGTTCCTCTGTCACCAACTCATACTCATGTATAATACGCTCCATCTCCTTCATTGCGTATATGTGTCTTTCCTTCGGATCCATCTCTGGTCTGATGATTGGACTTGATGTAGGAGATGTGGGTGATAGATTGTTAAAGTTTGAATCACTCTCCCTTCTGGGCAAAGCAAGTTTCGTCACCACTGGATCAAAGTTATCAGATATGCCATCTGTTGCCAAGAACACAACATCACCCTGATTAGCAAAGGTAATAGAACAAGTCAAATTTCTGAGTTCTGGATTTCTTCCATTAACAGGACCAAGTGCACCTCCAGCATCCCGTATGTCTCTCTCTGAGCTGATGTCATGGGACCCCACTGTGACCTCTCGTATGCCTTGATTATGACTTATAACATATGCATAGCTGTCACCAACATTGACACAACATACAGCAAAATGTTCAGAATTTTTCACCGGTACAACCATACAAGCACACATTGTAGTGAGTCCTCCATCTTTGGCTAAAATACAGCGATGGGCTTCATCGAATGAGTGCCTCAGCAGTTCTATGACGTCCTGTAATTACAAAGACAAAAGAATGGAAAAAAATGAAAACATGATATTGTTAATTAGTAGAATGGAAAACATTCAACCCATTCCCTTCATACAAATTACCATATAGCTGGTTATTTAGGCAGGTCAAAATGTCTGCACTCTTCATTTCAAATGAGAAAATTAAATTAAAATCATTGAAATTTTGTGACCTGCATATGAGATGAAATCTAATTCTACAAATATTGATTGTGATGTCAAGTTCAAAATACATAAATGCAGATTCATCAAGCAAACACCAGCATTATTCATAATAATGAAATGATCTATTATTTGAATGCAGGTATTCTGTTCTGTGTAACAAATAACTTGAATTATGAATCATTTCATCTTTTCAATCAACTGTAATTGTGGAAATAATATTGGAATATTAGTAATTTGGCTGGTGATGTTACCAAGAAGACAACAGCCTTAAGGCAACGTGTTTTATTATTTTACAGATCTAATTTATCTGATCATGTTACTGCCCCATAAAATTGCAAAAATAACACTCCATGGAAATAGCGTGCCCTTAACCATATGTGCAGTCTAAATGTATCCTCCATGAACTAGAAATTGAATTCAACAAGACATAAACTGATGTATAATATTAACGTAGACTGAATTCAAATTGACAACTAAACATTCCACATTTAACAAATACACTGAACACTTAACAGTAAAAGTTTTAATATGATTAAACTTTAACTCTTCTTTTCTTGAAAATTTTCAGAAAATGTTGTAATGATATCATGGGCAGCACTAGAATGGGTGTACATGGATGCAAAACTAAGTACATGATAGAGACAAGATTAACATAATATAGCACTTAGCCTTAAATTCATTTCATTTCCTCTAGTAGACACTTTACTGTGATTGCTCTGGACGTCATATGATGGGTCTCCAACATGTTGTTCAGTGAGGTAGTCACCAGGTATTACCAGCTGACTACCTGAAAATGTCCCTGCCTGTTCACACGGTGATAAACTAAACAAACAATCATTACCTGAGTATTACAGGGCTGTTCACCATCCTGGAAAATCTTTTTGTTGATGTAGTTCATGCTGCCATAGAGAGCACATCTCGCAGCTAACCTTGGTTTTTCCCCCCAGTTAACACCATCAGCAATCAACATAACACAGCTGTTCTTGCGCGCACAAATGGCAAATGCATCCGCCAAGGGATCACCTACAGGAAACAAAAATACATGTGATGGTTTTGTTTATGAAGTACCTCCAATCTGTATCCATTCAGAATAATTTAATTCAAAGAAATATTGATAAATCTTTTTCAACTCTTTACCATATCTTGGAAGTATATATCTATTCATAAATCAACATACTGGTAATGCAAACATCAGTAGCTCGAAAACATCCAAATTAACACTGCACAAGCATTAAACTTCTTACACTACATTCTTAGAAGACTCTAATACATTAAACAAAATTCTCGTATTCTAATATGATCTCTCTGTATTCATTAATGAACACCTAAAATCAACAATAATTCTTCAAGGAATATCCAATACATCACAATTAATTAAACAGTACATTTTTATATAGAAATTGTCAGTAAAATTAATATTTCTTCTTATATCACAGCTTATATATTAGTAATCATTCTGTGTCTGTGGACTTTGAATGGTGGCAACCAGTGTTAAATAAACAATTGTAGAAAAGTATAACTCTCTCATTACAGACATGTTAACGATTTTATTGATCATGTTATTGACCAATGCAAACTGATAACTGTTGCCAAGACTTGTTAGTCTCTTATGCATTATCATTGGTAAAACCATAACAAAATCTATGTCTATGAAGAAATCCTCCCTCTCATCCCCAGCTTCAGGACAAATATACATGTACATCTTACATCTGGAATTTAATTATTTACTAGAATATATACACAATGTATTGAACATCTGAAGAAATGTGTATTATCTTTACTTAACATTGTTGATATTTATTTTCCTATCTAATTCTATTTAGCACAGAAGGCCACTAGCATGTTAGTATATATTTGTCGTACAGGTCACAACGTTAAACAGTGTCAGATTATAATGACATTACACTTTTGACATCCTGAACTCTTAAACACTCCATGCCCTGCGTATCACATTTCCCGAAATTTTATGAAACATAGTTAAGATACACATCAGATTAACATTCTCCACTGTAAGTGCAGGTTATGTGATCCCTTGTTAAAAATCTATTAAATATCAACTGTCTTTCTGTTATCATAGTGTGAACTTTATATAATTTTTTTTATAGATGTTTATTGTCCAGTTTCATAAAAAGGTATTGTTTTATGAAACCTAATTATTGCTGACCAATTAAATTTTTTTTGCTTTTGTCTTGTATACATATTACACAGGTTTCTTCATAGCATTTAAAAACCTACTAGCATACACGTTGGAACACACATATTTACTCTGGTCTCAGTATCAACACAGTTATAAAAGCTACCAAAAACAGTAACTTTTCACATTAGGCACAACATAACCGACAAATACATTATAAAAGACCAGAGGTCATACATGGGTAGCTTTCCAAGATGCTTTCATATTTGACACAAATCTCTATCATGAGTGATGCATATTTATTTAACAAGTGTAATTTTATAATTCATTAGGTTTCCTCACTTTGCCCCAATGCTGCTCACCTCTACCTGACGGAAAACATATACAGATATGATTTGGTTTGGTGCAGACTTACATAATGTACACATCTCTTAGTGCACACCAGTTTTATATCTATTTTCTGCAATCTGCTACATTTCAGAATCAGACATAAAACTAGTATTGAACATATGTATCCATTGTATTGGCTAGTATCATGATTTTACCCGACATCTTGCCATTAACTGGATGTTGTTCATACAGCGAGATACAGATGCCATAAGCTTTCTGGTCTTTGTTGTTCCAGTTTCTAACCCCTGCAAACTCACTGGTGGACATAGAAGAGTTGCCATCTACAACAAGCAAAATCAATTGTGTACATATTAGATCACTATGAATAGTGGTACACTCAAATAAATAGCTTTATAGTGGTACCTGTAAGTCAATAGAACACCATTTTGATGCACGTTCTCCATTTCGTGTATATTGATTGAAAATATGATAGCAAAAATCAATGTTTTCCACTAGGAAGTAGAACAGTGACATGCTCTAAGGCTTTTAAGGTTTCGGCTTGACCACATATACTTCTTTCTGTAATGGATATCTGGAGACACTATCAACATATAATTATTTATTTCATTTGCCATATAAATATTTGCAAATTGCAGACTACAACAATAAATTCACTCAGAATAGTTTTAGGAAAGCATTACATATACTTTTTGCCACAAGTTCTTTTTCTACGCAACTGTATAAACAAACACTTATGAAAAGTGCGATATACACCCAACTTGAAAGACAGGAAATTAGAAATCAGTATTCGTCATTGAACATTAGGAAAATCAACATAATCAAAACAGAATATACTGAATCAAATGTGACGGTGAAAATTATACTGTATGTAAATTGGATAGAGACTGGAGTGTAACCAATGAGGAAGAGAAAGTTAATATCATTTGAGCTGAGGCTTGCTAAGTTAAACCTGATAACCTGTTGGAATATTTCTACAATCAGAAAGCTACAATTGGTAGTAACAGTTAGTTCCAAAGGCTGTGAGAAATTAATAGACTGAAAATTAACTGTGCTAAGTTTAGTCTAAAACAGGACAAACTAGGAAGAAAAAGGAACAAACTAAGGAGATAAGGAAAATACATGTAATTGTTTATGAATGAAAAAGTTCTTGATACCTCTGACACAGATACCAGGAAATTTCACTCCAGTCAGCAAACAATATTGTTATGAACACTACATGTATATTAACTAGGATCTGTATTTACACCTGTGGACATAGTTGGCAGTCATTTTCAATTTAACTTTGTTTGCAGCTAATATTACACACACTTAGATGCACCAACATGCTAAGGTCTATGGACTTAATCGTAATATTGAAAACAAAGCAGGGTTAAAACATGTGATAATTAAACTGTTTCAACTTATAACTAAAACAGGCTCACAATAATAACCCACATATAATACATTATCAACATATTGTTACTGCTTGTTCACTTTATGCATTGGCACGTAATTATAATACACTAAATTTTCAAATTCATAGACACATCAACATATTGTTACTGCTTGTTCACTTTATGCATTGGCACGTAATTATTCATAGACACATCAGTTAAATCAGTGCTAATGTTCAAAAGTATCTGAGTGATTATCATATATACTTGTACAACCCATTCTTAAATATATTTTATTTGTTATACGAAAACTGTGTGGGGTGGAACATTATTAATATACACCTATACCTTGACAAAGAGGAATATATGCTAGTATTACTGGACCAAAATCAATGAAAAAGCACGGTTTTATTTCATTATAATAAAGCCTACTAGTTTGAATTATTGGACTGCATTGACATTCTGTCTATTCGAATAAAAAATTATCGTAACATTACTAGACTAGTCTAGAGACCCTTTTTGAAACTGTTCAGATTTATAAAATTCTAGGTTATCTGAAAGAATATGACTTAAAATTTTAATCTTTTGTGATAATATAACCATTTAAAATTTTTAGTATTTGTTGTTTACCTTTTAGTTCGTTTGATGGTATTACTTTCAGATTGTCATGTCTTTCACCAGTTGATGGCCCTAATGACTTTTTATGCATAGACAGGCCGTTAAGATTCTAATAATAATAACAATACTAGTTTGAATGAAATCCATTAAAACTTGACAAAGATCTCCAGACAAGATCAAACCCCTGAAAGGGATAATAGCCTTTACTTCCAGCTCTTGTTGATGAATATGTGTCATAGTGGGATACACTACTTAATGTTTTGATAATAAAACTTACCAATTATAACAGATACAAAACTCAAAGAAAAAAAATCTGGACGAGATCAAATAAAAATACAAATTTTCTTTTTAAGCAATAAAACTTAAAATCCTGGTTGGATACTGATGTGGTTCATGAAAACACCATTTCATATCTTCATATCACAATTAATTATAAGCCAACAAAGTCTCAAAGAAAATTGGTTAAAAACTGAAGGAGGAAATCTCCATACAAGATTGAAATGCTAAAAAAATCAAAACACTATTCAGTAAAACACAATTTTAAGTTGCAATAAAACTTACCAAGTTGAAAAGAGTACATTTGAAAACTGGGGAGATGCCAGATAAGATTGAAAACCAGGGGCAATAACTACCTGTTATGAAAGCACGACATCATGTCATGGTTATTATTTCTGCCAAATTTGAGATTGTGATCAGTTGAAAATTGTGGGAGGAGATCTCCAGACAAATAAATGCAGAGGATGGACAAATTGTCATACCATGATAGTGTATACAAATCGTCAATTGTTTTGACAGACAAAGAAAGAAAAAACAACAACATATTTTATTTATAGTTATATTCAGGCATGTTCTGATTTTATCTCAACTGACAACTTTTCCTAAAATTGGACCTATTTCTTTTGCTTTTTGAAATTTGAAATAAATATTATCTCGTTTTGATCTGCAAGTATTTGAAGATACATTTCCACAAAAAAGTGATTTGTTACTTTACCATCATAGTGAGTAAAAAGCTTAAATCTTTACTGAACATATTAAATAAAAAATATAATACTATCTTACGTCATATAAATGAATACCATGAAATGAAGCAAAATTTAATTACGTCCAGAAATAAGAATCTAATGTGGCAAGAAATTTTAAAATCACAACAAAGTTCCAATTATTCAAAAGGAGTTTAACATGCATTGGTAACCAACCTGAAGACTCCATTGCCACATAGTATACTTCTGAAATTTGCCCTGTATATATGCTTAAAGGAGATGAAGCTTTTCATCACGAACCCCAAATCAATACTACTTCACAACTCTCAATGCTGGAATTCCTATACAAATATGCCACAATCTTTTCATGTATGGGTTTGCTTTCAAAGCCAGACTGGGTAACAAGAAGTTAAGGCAATGTATGTTTGAATGGTTCTGCTTGACTAGTATAGCCATAATCACAACTAGTCATTATTGAGATTTTCACATGGGAAGGAGATCAAGTTATAATTAGTTTCACAAATGAAAAACAATTTACATTTTAAGTCTTGTTCCTTATCAAAATAGTTATGGTCTGTTATGATACATAATAAAAGGCAGCAATTAACAGCTAACTCTTGTTCTTAAATCAGCAACATGGTTTTTACAGACTAAAATATTAATTAGTACTATGAAATAAACATACTCATTTGTAGAATATTCCATGGTTTAAAAAATACATTGTGAACAAATAAACATGTATAGCTTATACAACTTTCTGAGTTAATAACTCTGTAAACAGACAGGGTCATTTGAAGTGGGCTATCCTTGTAGGAGCTGATTGCCAACTCACCCTAAACCATTGCTCCCAATAACCCCCATGTGAGAGTACAGACCCCCAAAATTGGTGAAATTTAAGGCTTATACCCCTGGTTTTCAAGCACTCTCTTACATAAATACATTGTTAGAGGTACAATGTACTCATGGTTTTAAAAGGCAAGGGGGAGCAATGCTGATAACACATGGGAGGCCTGTTACATGCCATCCAGAGCAATCAGGGTAAACCCTTTCTCAGTTTCATATATATATATATATATATATATATATATATATATATACAGTCGCTACTATGAGTAACTATGATATATAAGTACATGTATGTATGGATAATAGTTACCGGTAAACCAAATTCAGGTGGCACTCACACTAACTGTGAAGGGCATGACCCAAATGGTTACATACATTTTATTAATATTGTAATATTGTTAATGTCATTAGGATGATACATTGTATGCCTGAAAGTTGACAGATTAAAGTTAAGATCCACAATGCAATACAACTGATTCATTCCTGGAAGATCTAGAAGTGTTAATCATCAGGGTTTCTGTGATGCAACATTTCAATAATATAATATGGCACTAGTAATAAGCAACCTTGTGGTAGGCTGTAGGTACCCCACTAAGATAATCTATATGTATTGACAGTAAAGACCTACCCAAACCTACCATTTCTGTCACAGCAAGTTCAACTTATACTATATTATCAACTAATATGAATTCTGAAATTTACATTTAAAACATTTCTTTTTTGCTGAAAGAAATCTTATTTACTATAACAGAATTACAAAAACGTTCTAGGTGATCATATTATGGATAAACATGTATGCATCAATTAATTACTTAAAAAAGTACACAAAAAAATTACGAAAGAACATCTCAACAGCTGAAATCAATCTGTGTTTGTCACACATATTGTACATACTGTCCTCATTGGTGATAGCAAATGTCAGTCCAGAATCGGGTCCAGTGTAGCTTGAAAAGACCTCATCGCTAAGATGACCAATGTCCAGCAGTGGAAGGTCATCCGAACATTTTCCAGAAAAAGTCTCATTGCCAAATCGTGCCATCCTGCAACATAAAAGACAATGGTCATGACAGCAACTAGAAGAGATTCCTGAGTCACACAATGAATTATTCAAAGTTCAAGTCACCACAGAGTTTTGTGCCATCACAACACAGAGAAAAAGTGCATTTAATATTATGAGTGTACTATATACATAGAGGTAGTTTTACCTTCTGTTTGTATGTATAGACTTAGCTTGTAGTATGTTACGTAATCACATCTAACACTAATGGCATCAATACATCTCTGTACATTTACTATGAGGTCTATACTGAAAATAAAATGAGCCAAGCACCAACCTTATACACTGCATTACATACACAGCCAAAAGACTTGGTCACTTGCCCATTTTACCTCCAACATTTTGTACTATACAGCTACTATATCCTCTTGGTACTGTCTACTTCAATGATTCTGATAATTGCTGACTGACAAGCATCAGTCTTTGGGGTAAAGGGGCTTACACACATCTCTGTTACATGTAGTAGGATACAGAGCATTGATGAGATCCTCCACCATTATGTATTGCTTGTGCCCATTTGACCTTCCAGTTGATTGATGCATGGACAGATATGTTACACCAGGGATGGTCACTTTCATAAGCTTCCTGGCAATAATAATGGCTAGGGCAATGATCAGCCCTGTTCATCTGCTACATTCTTGTAATTATGACCATGTAGGTCACAAAGCTACCCATAATCCAATACAACACATATTTTAGATTTTAGTTTCCCATTCAATGTAATTTTGCATATGATGCTGACAGTCTGAGGAAGCTAATGATAACCTAGTGTGCCTTTAGCAAACTTCCTTCTACAAAGTTTTAGCAAGGAGCTGGTTATACTTATTACTTTGACTCTCAAGAAAATGATGTATAGGTGTTGGCCCCAATTACTATATCAACTGACCTTGAATAATATGAACAGTGGACCAAATTAAATACTCTAATTACAAATTTTGAAGCATTCTTTATGCCAGCAACCTCCACACACACAAACAAGTCTCTAAGCAATTCAATTCTTTGCATGTAATTCAGCTGAAATTTGTCATTACCAAATTTTACTACTGACCTATCATATGGCCAATTCAATATTAGTTTAACATCAAAACACAAAGCCTTTCAGGTCTTCAGGAGTGTTTCAACAAACCGGACACCTTGAATATATATATATACACCACTGTCATTTCTCAGAATAAACTTTGTGACACATCATGAGTGCAAAAAGCTATACTACTATGATGACTAATAATGCCTCTTTTGTTCACGTGAGTGTTTTAACAAATTAGATCACTAGCTGTGACCTTGAATATAAATCATGAAGGTCATTTCCTTCCCTAACATTTCATACTATATGATTACCCAGTAAATAAGTTGAATTCTTATGACTGTGGCTATTGATATTTATGATGTGAAGATGACCAGGCACATTATTTTCCAATGTTACACACTAAATCATCACAAACATCTCCAAGATCCTACATCTTTTTGACAGATTTGCTTCTGTTTCTTTCTTTTGTAAATCTAAAACAAATTTCATAAAGATGTACACTTCTACCAGATGTGAATGTTACTAGTCTAGTCATTTTTGAGAAACATCTATTAAAAAGAATTGCATTAATTTCGTCACTGAACATCTCTAAGACAGCAGCCATTGCTGAGTAAGCTAATTAAAAATTGTATGGCAGCTGGATATTGTACATGAATAAATATCAGTCTGAGGTAAATGGGGGATGGACTTATACATGTCATGGAGAAGGGGCTGAGATACCTACGTACATAATGTAGTTCATAATCATTTTAATTTGGTTGAGCATGTATATAGGACCCTTGCTGCCTTAAATGAAGATCATTGTTTCGTGGAAAGCTGAGATCATTGACAGTTTCAACTCTGCTGTCATGGTTTAGTTGTATTCTTCAGCAAGACCCTTTATCCCATAAGTTCTGCCCATTCAGGAAAGCTTTTCATGGTCGTTACATTGTGATGTTCAGTTAGGAAGCAATATACAATAATGTACAAGCCTGCTGTGTACACAGGATGATTTACCCAATAAACAAAATTTTAGTGGAGAAAACCAGTCATTACCTTCAGTAAAATTACATGACAGTACAATTGTAATAATCACATCATTCAAAAAAGAGATTATAAACACCAGAGTTCACCTATTGTGTTACGTGGTTATTAATATCAGCTGCTGCTACACTTTTCAAAATCATCCTTGCTGTGTGTATAACACGCATAAAATACTCATCAGATTAGAAATTACATTGAGCAATTTCAATGCATGTACGCGTTATTGTTCCAAGCTCTTCATTTCAATCATTTTCATTCCAGTTGAATGGCTAAGCAATCACAAAACCTTCCCAAAACATATAAGTTACATTGATAATGCAGCTGGTGTTTCAGTGCTTCAGCTTTGTTTATCACAGAAATACATTGATTTTTGTCCATATATATCAGGCCAAACAAATATTTTATTGTGTTTCAGGTATCTTCAAAATTCTAGGATTACTGAAATGTAAATGCTCTTGGATTAGGACATAAATTATAAGAATGTGATCCCAGGTATGCACTCACACACACCCTCCCACACAGTACATAGCCATTCCTGGTGATTCAAAGGACCAAGGTGCTGAGCAGGGCATTCAGTTAACCCTTGACATTTGGCAATTTCAGAAGTCAAATTACAAATCTGAAGGCTGTCACTACATATGTGAAACAGACATGTCCCGAGAGTAAATCTCATTGTTGGGAATAAAAAAAAACATACACAAGGGTCCACGTTCAGGACATCTGTTCTGCCATCATTTTCAAAGCCATGAGTCGACTTATCAAAGTAAGTTATGACTTATTAAATGGGGTATACTAAAACTGAATACATAGGTCAGCTTAATAACATATATCGGCTAATACAGGGTATGCATTGCCAAATAAGATAGACTTGTTAAAATGGAAGCAAACATCTTGTTTCAATTTGCCTAAAGTAACTATTACAGACATGTCGCTTCCTTCATGTCCTTGGAAACAAATTAAGGTACACTCAGTCTGGGAATCAATGTATAACTAAAACAACCCAAAATAACTGTTCATTTAATATTTTATTTGACATAAAGTTAGTAAAAGACATTTCTAAAAGTCATACCAATATGAGATAGATTTTCCAAATTACTGATTTCTTGAAAATCTTTTAAGAAAATGTAAATAGTCAATACAATGGCAATATGGAACATTTTCCTTATCAAGATTTGAAGATGTGGATACCTAGTACAGTCAATGGGTGAGTGGTGAAACATATACCCATCTATCCTATATGATAAGGAGAGAGGAAGAGAGAGCAACCCAGTAATTAATTATCTTGCCAATTGGTCCATCTTCTTAATGAACTCAGCTCTAGATAACAATTAGAATCAATATTGTAATTAAAGTGGTTATTGATGATGACATATATACATGTACATTTGTACTTTAACTGAAAACTGACCACATACATCATGCACAGAATATGTTTTATCTAAATAATGACTAACTGTGGTATGTTGTTTTTGTGCACTTACATGTTTTTAAGTATTATATACATGTTTTGTAATATTAGCCATTACAGTTAAAAATATCATTCAATCCCTGAAATACAATGTTGAGGAGAATCAGCTGCCTTATCAGTAATAAATCTTAGAAAAACAAGGGCCTATTATTTTCCAGATGGAATTTGGAACGCTACACACTAGTACCACCACCAGTGATATCCAGTGGTACAATTATCATCTCCTGAGGACCTTTAAAAGTAAATTATATGTACTTAAATGTACAACAAAGGGGTGACACATTTAACTCATGCTGTCAATGACAGCAAACATGCTGTATCAAGAGAATCATTAACTCTGCTGCACTTGACATTCTACAGAGTAATGAGAATGTCATGTACTGTCAAAGAATATTAAATACTCAATTACAGTATTTAATGTGAAATATGATATGATATGCTGTGATGAATTACTATTTCAACATCTGGACATGCAGTAGTGTTCATGTACATGAGAAGTAATTTTAACTGATTATGTAGCACGTTCACAGGAACTAATGCAACTGAAATTGAATTTGATGTTACAAAAACTTTTGAAAACAGCATCTGTCGATTTTGAAATCATATCCATTGCCATATATACAACACACAATGTGGTAAAATGAATAAAGTGATAATGGCATGTTAACATCATACAACTATCAAGTTTATGAGAACCTTTCTTGATCTGTTTATAGTAAATTCAAGTCATGATTAAGCTGTACATACTTTATTATGTTGGTGACAGACAAGGCAAGCCCACATCACATCTGTCCTGTAACTAACTTAGGATAGCACCCTTAATGGTTGTCTCCAACATCATTGTGTATTGGCTAGACACAACAAAGAGCATATCAGAGAACCATGTGCACGTCCACAATTAATGAGTGGGTACAGAGCTGAGGACTATTACAAATGTAAATCAAACACGTAATCTGGTATAATTAATCACCCGACTGTCTCTCTACTATCAGTGACAATGACATTGTTCTTTGTGGAAAGAAAACTGATTGATCATTTCGTTTAAGAAACAGCTTACATTTTATTATATTACATTTCAACAAATATGCTTTAGTAATTTTGTTAATTACAAAATAAAACAAAAAGAGTCCAGTTATTTTCAATCTCAGTATCTTTGTTATGTAAGTTTACTTTACAAACATTTTGTTACTATCATCAATGCCAACAATTATATAGTCTTTATACACTAATAAAATGTTCAGCATGTCTTAAGAACACAAATCAATAGTCCAAATAACAATATTTGATTATTATCGATTATGTATCTTTCTTATAAAGATGGTTTACAAAAGTCAATGTGTAAGATTTATGCACCCCTCAAACTATTAAATGTAATGTAAAAAAAATGTGAAAATTACAAAATAATGTATGTTTATATAATCCTGTAATAAGGAACATGCATTAATCACATATAAAAAAAATTGTATATCTTCAGATAGCTCTTAATATACTTGTATATGCTGTCATTGCTGCTTCTGGTTAATATGAATTTTTCAGTGAATATACATGGGTCTATCATGTTTAGAGAAGCAAGCGGTAAACATGTAGTGAAGACATCATATAAAGAAGATGCTTATCTTGTGGGAATGGCAAAGCTCTTGAACAAGTCAAGGGAAGCAAAACTGTTCTAGTTGTATCATGTTACCATTGCAAGTAGCTATATAACAAGCCCAGATCTGTTATCGCAGTAACAGAAGGCCCAAGTTAAAGTTACTCTAATGGTGCCTGTCAAATCAGTCCGTTACTGTGTGGTACGAATTCATAATCGCAACTGTGCTTAATCTGTTATCTTACACGAATAAATACAACCATACGGCGGCTCTCAGACTCCGTATCAGTGTACGTGAACAAAATAAATAGCATGACCTCACTTCAATTAAAATAGTCTAAATATTCTAAATATACTGATATACGACATGGTATATGTAGGTATCATTGGTCACTGCAATACAATTCCTCGTCAACTCACCTCTGGCAATATATTCAAATATGTGGCATCCTTGTGATATTTCAGTTGTGGCGACAACATGTAAAGCTGGTATCCAAAAACTCTTGTCTTGACGAAAACGAATACGTACGACCTCGTATCCCTACCGCTTCCGGTAGTTTTGAATTGATTATGGATTATGTTTGTTACTCATTCGGAATGACTCATTTCTATTCAATATTATGCTAATTAGCAACACAAACCGCATGAACTGTTTCCAGACTTCTTCGACACTGGTCAAAACATACCACGTCTCAGTTGATTACATCCTTTTCTATCTTCATACGCTTATCTGTTGGCACAAAACGCATCCCTGACCTCGACAAATTCCTTCAAAGCTAGTGTATACGATTGGATATAAAATACGTGTGGGTTAAGAATGTGATGCATGATAAGAATGTGAACTGCTTTGTGTTGTCATATTGTGCGAGTTTAAAGTAACTGGCTAACCTGACCATCACTGACCTGATAACTTTAGTAACGGACCAAGAATTATTTATTTCTGATTATTACTATACTACTTAGAAAGATTTGAATTTCAGGCATGTATAACCGACGAGGTGGCCGAGTGGTTAAGGCGATGGACTGCTAATCCATTGGGGTCTCCCCGCGTGGGTTCGAATCCCATCCTCGTCGTCTCATATTTTGTTTTTTTTAATAAAAATGTTGGTCCAATAGTAACGCCATGTTACCATTGTATTCATGTAGTTACAAGTAAGAAATAGTCAAGTTAATTTCATTTTAAGTCGGGACATGTATAGTTAAAGTAAATGCATAAATAAGGCAAAATAAATAAAATTATGCAAAAAGTACATCATGAAGTCAGTTAAGGAAAGTGAATTTAATTTACGCCAAACAAATTGAACAAGCAAAATAAATTAATCATCAGCACTAATACTAAATATACTAAAGGTGTTACTAATTCATAGAAAAGTATATTTTAAAAAATCACGAAAGACAATGTGTACCATACCCTACTGTCTTGCTTCTTGATAGATATAAAATTTTGGAATATATATATAATTATCATTGGAGGCATGGTGAACAGTCTTGTAGCTACGAGATCCTTATAATGAGATAAATCCCTAAAGGTCGAAGAAAACCTGTCGTAATTACGGTTTTGTTTTGGCTTTAACTGTTTTTAGGATTTGAAATTTACTCTCCTATGGGAGAGTGGGCCGTTCCCGGAGGTACTGCAATACCGGGCCAACCCGTGGCAAGAGCGGAGCAAGCCCCTGACATCTCACCTATGTCCAAAAATCAGTTTAATATCGAAGTGCCCCGGTGGGGCACGTATCAGATATTAAGCTGATAAGAACAGATACTACACTTTGATCTTAGCCAAAAGGCCGAGAAGCGATAACACTTCAAGGTTTACAGAACGCTTATAAAGCATACATTAAAAATGCTACTAATGGGTTACAAGATTACAATATCAAAACGTCTTTGCTTACAAATAGCCAAATATTAATTTTAAAATTGTTATATTACTTATCATACAACAATACTTTGCTAAAATAAAGAATGTTGTTAAGTTAGATAGACTATATTTGCGATAAAAAAGATATTTTAGACGTAATTTAGTACTCAGCTCTCTAATCACTGTTCAACTAACGTTCTCGAGTTACCTCCCATTAGTCTGAGCGTTTAACTCGTTACTCTCTGAAATACTCGACATTTAGTTTTGACACCGAGAATACCACTGTCGTGTACCCGTTCAGAAATGTTCTGACGACCACAAAATGTAGGTGCTAACTTTAAGCCAGAAAAATCACTGGTTTATGAATACAATCCGACTGGGACAGGTAGACAAGTAATCTACCACGCGAAACTCTGAAATAGCCGAAATTTGTACTGCACCGGCATCGAGGCGGGACTTGCTGTGAGATTTTGCTCTCATCGAAATATACAAGCAGTCTAAAAACGAAAAACGAAGGAAAACTGTCTTGTTAACGTTACTGACTGGTCCGTCCCTTGGAATTTATAACAAGTTAGACAGAAAAAGTTTCGGATTCCGGGTTCTAAAGACTGATTCCGGTTAAGGATTGACCCTATAAATGTCTGTAAAGGGATTAAAGATGAACTAGAAATACCTAGCTAGCAACATCCCTACATCCCGAACCTTACTCTGGGCTCTGTTCCGATTGCCATGATGTCTATGCAAGAAGTCGTCAACTGACGGACAAATGGTCACACAGGTTTTCCAAAGATGCAGGTAGATGAAAATCATGGGGGGATTTTACATCAACATCGTGACCTCATTCATATTCTATACCTTTGTGCGATATGAAGCTTGACGTGTGTGAAACTTGTTAGTTTGCCGTTGTTTCCATTTGAGAACGTGACATTACCTGCTTGGATTGAGCAAGGTTTACATGGCAGGTGTCGGCGAAGAAGCAGAAGACGCTTATTCTCCAAGAACACCTGGTATTTTTCTTTTTGTACTATCTTTAGTTCATATTTTGCACTACTTTAACGTTGACATGTTGGTACTTCCTTGTTGTTATTTCAGTACATTTATTTTGGTTTCAAATCGTTTGGTAAGGGTGTACAGTTAAACTTCGTTAACTCGAATATTTTGGTCTAAGCCATAACTAGAGAAATATACAATAGATAAATAAATAAATAAATGTATTCGTTATCCCGAAGTTAGGCATCGGCGTGAACAGTAAAAAGCACACATGTAAAGTACAAATGCACCGCTTTTTTCTGAGTTCCGTAACTTCCGCTTTAGATGCAATGTTACGTCTACTGGCACTGGTGCCTCGTCCCACGTTACACAGATATCATAAAGAAATAATGCTTGTTATTGGCTTCAACATGTCTATAGAAGTAGAAAATGGAGAAAGGGGGACTGAGTCGCTCAGATATACCATAACACAAATCTGAAATATATACTAACTGCATATATGTAAAGTTCACGATAAAAGAAAACCATGCGTGTACTGAGAGAGAATAAAACACGCTCATTTAAATATTTTCGAGCTGAGGATGAAAAAAATAATGCATTTTCGTCGTTTGATAACTCATCATCACCGAATAAGAGCTATTTATTTTGAGATTGTGTTATTTATTGCAGGCATTGCACGTACACACAGTTGACGGAAAAGACTGCAATACAACGATAGTGTTTAGTAGTCTCTTCGTTTTCCTTACACGAGCTATCAACTAGATTTCTGCAGTATAAGTAGAATCTTAAAGAGCTACACTCCATTCTCAATCTGGAGTGATGGATTTGACAAATTCTGCTATTATCAAAGACGTGATTTTTCATTCTAAGAATCGATGGATCATTTTTAATTAAGTTTGAAAAGGAATTCAAAAGTTCAATTACAGAAGGCAGAGAAGATACTCTTTATAAAGTCGTACGACAGGGTATTTGACGAAAATCATTGCCGACACTGGTAGAGTGATCGTGGATAGGGTTGCTACGACGAGGAAGAATATCTTGTAGGTATTGCGTGGCGAGAACATGAACCATTTTATGAAAACAGATAATTTTATGATATTTACGTCTTTGTTCCAATAGCCTGTTTCATTACACGATTTCGCTCTGCTAGTTAGCCTTGTGCCAGCAGTAACTATTGCACTGATTGGGCTTTAGTTACATTATCTCAAACACTATCACCATATTCTAATATAGGCCAACTGAGTAAGAAATACATAGTTTGAAGTCATCTGCGATCTAATGTAAATGTAAATTTCCTCAAAATGTTAATTTTGGGTGAGACATTAGATTTTTAGCCCACCATCTAATAGATGGTGGGTTATTCAAATCGCCCTGCGTCCGTGGTCCGTGGTCCGTCTCGCCGTCCGTCCATCCGTAAACAATTCTTGTTACCGCTATTTCTGGAAAAGTACTGGATGGATCTTTCTCAAATTTCATATGCAGGTTCACCTTGGTCCCTAGTTGTGCATTGTACCTTTTTTGAACTGATTCGCATTCAAGATGGCCAACAGGTGGCCATCTTGGATTTTGGATGTAAAAGTTTGTTACCGCTATTTCTGAGAAAGTACTGGATGGATCTTCCTCAAATTACTTATGCAGTTTTGCCTTGGTCCCTAGTTGTGCATTATACCTTTTTTGGACTGATTCGAATTCAAGATGGCCGACAGGTGGCCATCTTGGATTTTGGATGTAAAAGTTTGTTACCGCTATTTCTTGGAAAGTACTGGATGGATCTTTCTCAAATTTCATATGCAGGTTCACCTTGGTCCCTAGTTGTGCATTGTACCTTTTTTGGACTGATTCGAATTCAAGATGGCCGACAGGTGGCCATCTTGGATTTTGGATGTAAAAGTTTGTTACCGCTATTTCTTGGAAAGTACTGGATGGATCTTTCTCAAATTTCATATGCAGTTTCCCCTTAGTCCCTAGTTGTGCATTGTACCTTTATTGGACTGATTCGAATTCAAGATGGCCGACAGGTGGCCATCTTGGATTTTGGATGTAAAAGTTTGTTACTACTATTTCTTGGAAAGTACTGGATAGATCTTTCTCAAATTCCATATGCACTTTCCCCTTAGTCCCTAGTTCGAATTCAAGATGGCCGACAGAAAAGTGCCCACGTCCTATAGTTACCATGTATTATTACTGGATAAATCAGTCGTTTTGTGAAATTAAAATAGAAATAAATAAAGCGCTTGAGCAGTGTTTCCGTTCGAGCACTGGTCAGGTTAGTCTTACAAACAAATACACAAAATTAATTTTGGTTTCTGCTTTTTTTTGTAACAAAATGGATAACGCTGTTTTAGAGTATTTCTATTTCCCCCATTATTGACGGACGATACATCCTGATGCCAGAGGTTGTAGGGATGTTTCATCCGATGTAGAGCCACATTGCTTGATAACAAACAAATGTCATCTTACCTAAAACCTTGCCAGTCACAACATGACCCCAAGCCAATCCTGATAGATCTGTTACACGGTTCCAAAGACTGGTAGCAGTCTTTCTATGGGACATTTAAACGGTAAGTACTTAAAGAAAGAAAAAACAGTTCGCATGCAACTAATTCGTTGACTGTTAGAACTGTTACAGCCTACATCTCTGGAATCAGAGGAACCATTGATGTAAGATACGCAGAAGAGTGCAGCCACTGAGAGATTGAAAAGTAGCTTTCTATTGAAGAACAACATGGCAAATAGGGTACAAAATGAGTCAGATCTCAAAAGACAAATCAAGTCGTTGTTTGTAAAACTGGATGCCACGGCAGATAATAGAGATTTTCCAAGTTTAGATATGGAATATCTTCAGTAAACGTCATGTGGCACATACCTAATATCATTGGCAGCCGGCTGTGTCAGTGGTCGCCTCAATGATGATGGCGACTATAAACACTTCTAAAATATAAAATGAGTGTTAGATCCACTCATGACACGATACCGAGGTCTAACGCGATGTGTGTTTTAAGTTAACAAGACAAATATTGACCAGTCCGTTTTAAAATGTATGTCCATCAGAAATGGCAATCTTAGACTTGACAGACTCATCTATATCAGCTGCTTTCCTCGATAATTTCCAACAACGAATCCAACAGAGACAACTTTGCGCCAAGCTGTGTGATGAACATGACGATTTCAATTTCCCTATTGTGATTTTTTCATTATTTCTACGTAGTAACATCTATGCTTCCCCATTTTATTCAATACCAATATCATGATTTCCGTGTAAGATTTCGTCTTCTGACACAAGACGATGCTTCGAGAGATGCCGTTTGATGAAGATAACGAAGTTTTATAGTCGTGCGATATGTTTAAGTTTAAACCGAATCGTGAATACTTTCATCCCCACCACACCGACACTAACAAAAAGCATGGTGGTACACAGGCCTTATTCTTCGTTATAATATTAGCTTTAATTCCAGACATTTGCATAAGCTGAAAGCTTATTAAGTAAACTAATGATGTACAACTTTCGAAAATTGATATAATGACTGGTGTCAAGTATTACAGATTACAGGTATATGTCTGATAAAAAAACTTTATTTATGTATATATTTCCATTTACATGGTCTTTGGTAAACATGAAGTCTGGTGAGTGGGAAGCCGGGTCGCTGTACACTTGTGGTAAATATTAATGTGAAATCATTATTGCGTATATAGAAAACTCCAAACAATATGTGAATGGAAATGTAAATATTTAAAACATCTCACAAAGAATGGAATAGAAAGAAAACGTTTACTTGGAACTATTTTCTGTTTACTTCCTGTAGTTGACAACCTTCCCGCAAAACTGGAATCAACTGTTTTGCTGTTCCATCAGTTGTCGGTCTGTTCCGTTCGTGCGTGTAACATCCATTGAACCGACGATTATTGTTAAAATGATTTCAAAATGTAAACATAAGATTTAAAAAAAAAAGCATTTAGACTGCATTTAAAAAGATATTCCAACATGACGCGTTAACGTCATTTAAATATCTGTAAAATAAGAAAATCGCCTTTACCAGCAACACAATACTTCAAGTGCATCCTCACAAAAGCAATACTCTGTATAATAAGGAAATACATTATATATAGATGTTATAGTGTCATTATTGCGATTGCGTATTAAGAATACAATGAATGACACAGCTTGACATTACCCCACGTGTCCAAACAAACATAAACATTGACATCGTAGGAAAAGAAAATAAATTTTCTTCAAAATCTATTTTGATAAACAACCGGTCGGTCACAGTTGATGTTTTTTGCAAATAGTTTGGTATGATATATAAACAGACAGTTTTCTTTCCATTTTCTATCTATGATAGAAAACATCATGTCTAGAGGTCTAGCCTAATATTTGTACATTTTCCAGTTAAATATCGTTTGGGCGAAGGGAAATAAAACTTCCCTTATAACTAAAGGTTTACAAAGGTAATGGGTGGTATATTTCTAATTTAGGTGGGGAACACTGAAATTGTAATAGAAAGTATTACACGGATAAAAGAATGGCGAAGCCCATCTTAATATTCCCCACAATGGCGTTCCGGAATGATAATATTCAACGAACATACTGATGCTGTTTCTATGAAATTCAATAGTGAAGAGAAATGAGATTGAGAAAGAAATGCAATATTTGGTTAGTACAATTTACCAAAATTAAGTCATTATACATATATTAATAACAAAAAACATTATCGGATAAACATACAGAAATGGTAAGATCTGAATATTTTCATGTTGCCCATTTCACGGAGTATTTTTAAGTTATAAGAAAAGCGCAAACAAAAATTAAATTTAGGTAGATAAAAGTTGCTTCCCTTGTATTGTATTTTGTCTTGTACCACTTTGTTGTTATGTGTGAGAGAGATTACTTAAACCGGCTCTGCCTGATGTCCAATACCTTCGTCATATAAGTATTTATTTATATGTCAATAACATTGTTTGAAATTGAATCGAAAAATTGAAGAAAACGCTCACTACATTGATATTTTGCAACTTATATCTTATACATTAATAGATTATAATGACACTGCATATTTAACATTACCGAAACAAATATGAAATCAGCGACAATTCCAGTATACACGTTTGCGTCATCTCAAATATCTTTAAAATATGCAAATCGCCATTACCAGCAACACAATACAAAAAAGAAATACTCTGTATAATAATGAAATACATTGTACATATATTTTATTTTTATTTTTTATATCTATAATAGAAAACGTAATCAAAAATCTATTTTAATAAACAATCGCCACTAGCATAAGATATATGGTAATTTTCCAGAAAAAAAAAATCTTTTTTTTTATTTTTTATATCTATAATAGAAAACGTAATATCTATCGCCCTAGCATAAGATTTGTAATTTTCCAGTTAAATATCGTTTGGGCGAAGGTAAGTAAAACTTCCCTTATAACAAAAGGCACAACTGTAGCATCAGACTGATAGGTTTAGGTGAGAGGTTACGTAAACCGGATATGCCTTATGTCCAATAAATCTGTTAAATATATATTTCTATGTCAATAATATTGATTGAATCGAAAAAATGAAAAAAAACCCACTTATATCTTATACATCAATAGAATATAATGACATTTTGAATTTTTAACATTGATGAAAAAAATATAAAATTAACAACAATTCCAGCAGTATATCGCCCTCGAGATAACATCATTTCTGTAGAAGCCTCTGGACAAACGTTGGGGACGCAATCCGTCTCATTCTATCCTTGCTCACATACGATCATTGTCTTGGTCCTTGGGAAGTATTCAGTGTCGTCTACTATGGTCCTTTACTTGCTCTGTAATAGAAAATAGCATAAACTATGATGACATCTTTTATACTATAGAGAAAAAGGCGAGTAATTCTTCATTCCTCAATATGAATTGTTGCATTGTTTTGCATTCATCATTGCTTTTTCGGTGTGTGTTTTGTTGTTAATGATTTGACAATCTTCAAAAGTAATCATGAACGAAGTTAAAAACCACAAACAAAAAAGTTCTCCGTCGTTTTTTCTTTTTCTAGAGTGGTATGTTTTGGAGAGAACTATCTAGATTAATGTTTATCTCGGTTTCTTGTTTTACTGTTATCTGAGGGTCATCAAAGACGAATTCCTTTCATATTTGTATACGTTATGCAAGAGTATGTTGCAATTGACAAAATGTCTAATACTGTTTATGAAAATTAATATACACGCGACTTAAGATGACAAAATGTTTAGGTTAAGTTGTTTTTTCCCGTACGTTTGATTTCGGAAAATCATTGTAATTCTAAAAATTCACAAAATTATAGCATTTTTAGCGGAAAATTGATAAAGATTATCAGCTTCAAGCTTCAAACTAACACTAGTCGACAGTCGCTTTTGTGTCTACAACCATTCGCTGTTTTGAACGGAAATGGCCAGTTGAACTCTCGAAACTTTATTTAAACCGCCGCTTTCTTACTGATTTCTATTTTTTTCCCCGAGTCGTGCAAGACATTGCTTACACTCTCTGAATGATAATGATATGAACTAGTGTTGGGTAACTCCTATCTTATTTTAATTTTTTGACTTTGTAATATAATGGTAATGTAAATTTTAAAATATTATGATTAACAGAAAGTGCACAACTTCAACAGATATTTAAATGTTAAAATGCATTTTTATCAGTTGGGAAATGAAAATCTAACCATTTAGTCCCTTAAAGACATTGTAGCAATCATTATATGCCTATCAGTTCAACTTTGCTTCAAACATACAAACAATAAGGAATGAACCAACAAAGGAAATGATAGAGGACAACTAGAGATATCCTATTTTATGCAAGGCATCAGTCTGTTATTAACGAAAAACATTAACACCAGTGTGAAAATATAGGAGAAATGGAAACAATTGTCTTATTTTTTATGGAACGAATAAAGCGTTCTGTTTAGTTACCTACGTTAAGAGTACATAATGATGATGCGATATTCACCCATAAAAACAAAAAATGAAAACTTTCATCATGGTAAAGTGATTAATACCACGTAAAGAATGTGGGAATACATCAATATTTTCCCCATGATATAGGCTCTATTATCGTTTTATATCTATGATATCGATATTGCTTATTTATCCAGCAACATTATGATAATCAGCGGGATTCAAGTTCTATTATATCTCTAGTAAAAATCATAACACGAACATTTTTTTTACCTTTTGAGTTATTTTATCTTGGCACGCCATACGAATTCTTTCTACCGTTGCGGGACACTGAAAGAAATAATCCTCCGAAAGGTTTTCGTGTTTCCTCGCGGCTAAGATTGCTTCCTTTATGGCATAAAACACTGATACTGCCAAGAGTAATGGCGGTTCCCCTATGCCCTATTGAAAAAGAAATAAATGCATCACCGTGACATAAACAGTTATTGTTTAATTTGAACAAAACACCTATAACACGGAAAAAAGACAACCTTGAATATAAAAAGACTAGGTGTTCAGGGTGAATAGCATCTTTGCTTCATCCACGGCAGCCGCCTTGAAGAAAAAAACAGGAACCTTTCCGTTTGTTTCCTCTGGCGCCATATGAAACATGATGCACAGCATTATAATTTGTCTTCCTTTAGTGTTGCAGTTTTACCTTGGCCGAATAGACTGTCTTTGGCCCTTCCGCGTATTTTAGAAGTTTAACATTCATCTGCCTAGGGATGTTTCTTATCCCCGGTACTTTGTAGTCCAGAGGACCTGTACTGGTGAGTTCACCCTTGGCGTTGACTTTCAATTCTTCTGTGGTCATCATCCCAACACCCTTAAATAAAAGCAAGCGGAATTCATGTGTCAAGGAATTATCGAATATGTTCCGCACTAACAAAAAAATTCCCTTTTAAAATGTCCGTGTTTTTGCAATCATTCCAAATCTTGAAATTTAATACGCACAATATCTTGTAATTAATGTTGGACTGACTTCCTACCCAGCTCAAAATGAGGAACAGATATGTTTGGTGATGGACTATGAAGTATCCACACAAAGGAATGACTTACCTGGACGAAGCCTCCCTCAATTTGTCCGACGTCTATCGCTGGATTCAAACTCTTTCCTACATCCATTACGATATCGACCCTTACAACCTTAGAAATAAACAAAAGTGATATATGTTAGAATCACATACGTATTGTATGATTTACACTGTTCGAGTCAGAATTCCGATAAATTCTTACGTTTGTAATGAAGAAACTTAACGTATTCTTTATAATTACAATATCATTTATATAATCAAAAAGTTTCATGTCTTTATTTATTAATACCTGAGTTTTTCCTTATATAGAACAACAGACATTTTACTGAAATTAATAAGGGGTGAAGTCAATTACATTTCTATGAGTTGATTAAATATTGAATTTACTCTTTATTCGTTGCCACTTTAAATAACGGTTAAAGACAAGCCTGTGAATAGTACTCAACCGAATATTAATTATGACAAATACGATAAATACATAAATGGTACTGAATGTACATATACATTTATCAGAGGTAACTGTTTCAATATATAAGTCTTGATATCACCCGATAATCAGACACTACTACAGGAGATATTTCAGTTCATATTCATTCACAACGTACCTGGTGTTCTCCTGTAAGAACATCGATCTCAACCTCAGTACAGGCACTTCCATAGGTGAAGTAGTGAGAGTGAGACCCACTATTCTTTTCATAGTCGTATCCCTCTTCACGAGGTCTAGACGTAATGATAAAAGGTTTGGCTTTGATATTTGTAAGGAAAGTTAATTTCCTGATAGTAGTGACTCAACTTTACTAGAGAATTGCATAGTTATACACAACATGTAAATAATCAGAGGCATATGCATACCCATAGAATCCTGTTGCGGAAAGACTCACTCTTGAAAAGTAAGCAGCGGTCACCTGTTAAAATAAACTGATTTCTATAGATAAAACTAACAACGGAATTTAGGTACTGACTTTTTCTCCCATGTAAGTCAGGCTAATTTCATGTGCATACACATTATACCGACATACCAAACCAACAATTGTAAGCGAGTTCAAATCTTTGTGACTACTGACTTATCTTTGTACGTATTTAGGATAATAAATTCACATAGAACACTTATTTTATCCGTCTGCATCGTATATATGATACAATTACATCATCACAACCTCATTACAATACACATGTCATGAGAAACGGAAAGCTTACCCATGCGTTCCAGCCACCTTCAGGGTTTTTCTCTTTTATTGGAGCCAATCTATCCTTTATTTTCTTGCAGGCTTCCTTTAAACAGTATAAATTGAAAAGATTTTAATATTTGAGAGGAATTAAATTTCGTTGTATTCGAGGTCAATCAAGAAGTTAAATATCCAGCAAATATTTTCACGGGAAACGAAATCTGTTACACCTGTATACGTAAACACCAGTTCATATACATGCGAACTTGCCCTGTGAACTTGTCCTAACCGCGACAATGTAGCTATGCCCATCTAGTTCCATTGTAGAGTGTATGGCTTCTAATTACTATTCAGTTTCAATGTTATTTCTATAGCGTTTAATGCCCATCTATTGCCAGTGTAGTGTTTATAGCGTCTAATTCCTATCTAGCTCAAGTATAGTGTTTATGGCATCTAATGCCTATCTAGTTCCAATGTACTTTCTATAGAGTCTTATGCCCATCTAATGCCAGTATAGCTTTCTCAGCTCCAATGCCCATCTAGTGCCAGTGTAGCGTTTTTATGCCCGATGCCCATCTAATGCCTGTGTAGATTTTATACCGCCTAATGCCAATCTAGTGCCAGTGTAGTTTTTAACCACAACATGGTCATCTAGAGCCGGTGTAGTAGTTTTAGCGTCTGATGCCTATATAGTGCCAGTGTAGAGATTTTAGCGTCTGGCGCCTATATAGTGCCAGTGTAGTGTTTTTAGCGTCTGATGCCTATATAGTGCCAGTGTAGAGATTTTAGCGTCTGGCGCCTATATAGTGTCAGTGTAGTGTTTTTAGCCTCTGATGCCTATATAGTGCCAGTGTAGTGATTTTAGCGTCTGATGCCTATATAGTGCCAGTGTAGTGTTTTTATCGTCTGATGCCTATATAGTGCAAGTGTACTTTCTATAGCGTCTAATGCCAATCTATCGCCAGTGTAGTTTTTATAGCGTGTAAAACCAATACCTTCACACATTATTATTAATGACCGAAAATATCGGTTCAGCTTGACAAGTGCTATGTTTACCTGAAATACTACCTTTACGATAAGAGAGTTCCTATTAATGTTATAACGCGTGGTATAAAAAATTATATCATTATTGTCTATTTTATATTAGTGTACACCTGAACAAATAATTATTTGGACACACTACTCATACACATTTGTCTCAGAATACTAACCAACACCGCTCCTGCGTTCAAGTCGGCAGCATTACTCCCACCGGTTTCGGAAGTGTTTGGCGCCGTGGTTGTACTGGTCTCGCTGATGATAATCTTCTCGTGCGGAATTTCTAATGTTGATGCCGCTATCTGTGAATAATGTAAGATTCGCTTCAATAATGATAACCAGGAACATCACTAACTAAAAAAAAAAAAAAAAAAAACTCAGCTTGCACGTCTTTATAAAATGAACAAAATATTATTCTGAGAAAAGCGAAATAGATCCCGCCCATCTAATTTCTCTTTTAAATACGTCAGTTTTCACGAGATATTCTCTTTTCTTAAAATCTATCGACAATGATCTGCATAATAAGACATGGCATTACTTAATCGCAGTTGCAGAATCACATACTATTAATCATGGGTAAAGTATTTACCATCATAATAGCTTATCATATACCTGGATCATTTTTGTGTGGAGTCCCTGTCCAAGTTCTACACCTGAATGGGCCAACAGCACTGATCCATCCTTGTAAACAAGAACCAAGGCTCCGGCCTGTGGCAACAAATATATTTACAGTTATAAATTGATTATGCCTTGCCCTGCTTTTCTGTTATTGGGCGACGCCTTCAACGTCCTTTATACATCACACTGTATTTCCAAATGCAGTTAAAATGAGGGTCTCACAGCGAAGGTTTTAATTCCAAATCAATATAAAAGTTACCCCCTGCGTAAAGAAAATGCACTACCATAGAAATGTTACATAAGATAGTGGATTGTAATGCGTATGTGTTTAGATCTTAATTGTCTTTGTACACATAATATTTTCCTTTATCAAGGAATTGCAATTGTACATTACCTAAAACGAAGAAACAATTTGTAATGTATGTATAATAGTTGCTATGTTGGTATGTGTGATTGCAGCACTGGCAGAGTGAATGATGTTTGTAGAGAATGTGACCCTCCTCTGTGAGGTCATATTTTGTACTATAATGTTAATATCATTGTCAATAAAACGTTTGAAAAAAATATTAGCTTTTAAATTAGGTGTTATATTTTCAGATGAGTAGCAATTGATTTAAAACTCCGAGTAACGAAACCAACCCAATTCTTTTTCTTCGAGTTTTTACCTCGTTTCTTAACTAGTAAGGTATTGAATGAAAAGTGAACGGACAGACGCCGAGCCATAGTGTGAGGTTTGGACTGTCCGCCACAATGACTGATATATTATCTACTTCTCAGCCCGTACATTGTAGTTATCATTCCTCCCACTTGTAAACTTTGTTCACAAATATTTACATTATACAGTACTATATAAGATAATAGTGTTATTGTTATCAACATCAACTTCTTAATGTCAGTGAAAATCAATATGAGAGACTGTCCCTGCATGAACTGACATTCACACTACCATCGCCAAAACACGATGACATAACATGTATCATAATCTATTTACAACTAATTTACTGTAAAAGAAAGAAACCGAGTGACACTATTCGGAGATGAAATTACCTGATTAAGAAATAAAGGCGGATATCCGATCCCATACATACAGGGAACGATGGAAATTCCACGTTTCCTCCAACGATTAGCACTACAATTAAATATTTTTACCATTATACTATATAGATCTACAATAAGACTGTAATCTAATACATGAAAATTGATCAATTTATTGTATTACATATACATTGTTTCTGTCCTATGTTTAAATGAAAGTTTTACTGAACAACTGTGCCAAAGTATTCAGTTTAACAATATATGATAACTGAATTATTAAGTGACAATTCATACCCTGATATGTCAAACAACGAATAAAACTGCATTATTAAGCTATATCGTCACTTTCGAAAAACCAACATTAATCCAATGAAGAAGTTTTGTCTTCTGATGAAGAATTCTAATCTACATACCTAACTGTTGGTGAAACGATGTGTATTATTGCAAAATACAGCATTAACACATAGTTGATTCATTAAATGCACAATACATTCTGAGGTAACCTGTTGTATGGCGCCAAGTATATAATTTGTTACTACTAGGAATTAACTTAATTGGGACTGTATCCCGGGTCCCCGATTCAGCACATACCCAATCAGAAAAAAACAGACCTAATATCTATGTTATATCAAATATATATCATCCTAGTGCCATCGGGTAATGCGATATAACATTTTGTGCTCATTCAAGTCTCTGACCTGTTGAATGCATGAATATTTTTGACACGTTTGTCGAATTCACTATCTTGTTTACACTCCTCCCAGCAGCGGTACAGGTTGTCGTCATTGATCGGCATGTTGAAAGGTGTCACATCACCTTTTCGTAGCATATTTGTGTCCCGTACCTAACAAAGATATCAGAATACAACATATTATTGTACTTGGCTTCAAATTTAATATTGCATTGAGTGGAATAAATTCAAGGCCTGTTGAATGGGGTCAGTAGATGAACAACATATATGAGAGACCCATTGCGTCTCATTAAGAGCAATTAGGGTATAGTGTTTTGCCTAAGCACAACACCGCGTAAGCACCGACCAGGTCATTTATCAGCTTCCTGAGACACATAACCGCAAAGGGCACGGACATCAAAACTTAATTCTTACCTAAGGTTACGTAAAATGTAGGCAAACGTCCCACTATAGAGCCTTGGCGGCTCCAAATTAAAACAAAGTCACTACTGTGTGTAATGTAGGTCATACTGAACAATGTTTTGACACGCTCTCTAAGTAGTCTATTTGAATGGGAATCAATGTTGATAAGGTTGCATAATACGACAAAAAACTGAATATCAGTTTAGAAGCGGGGGAAATAGCACCACATAGACTTAATGATAAAACGTTTTGTGATGATACAATTACAAAATAGTGCATACTTGTTCAGCTTGTATGTTGAGATGGAAAGCCACTTTTTGTATCATCGCCTCGGCCACGAACATCACCTGCGGAGATCCAAATCCTCGGAAAGCAGTATTAGATGGCAAGTTGGTTCGGCAAAGCTTACCTTCAGCTTTCATATTGGTGAAAGTATAACATCCCTGTACCAGGAGCATACCGCATTTCATGATCTATAAGCAGACAAATTTGTTATAACTTGTACAAGTTGGTGGGACTTTTTAGGAGCTTACTTCTAAAAGACAATAAACAATTCGCAAATGATCTTGAAAAGAACGGAATCAACACATACAAGCAAAATGATAATTCCATACAAGTGATATTATCCTAGATTGCAATTAGTACCATTCTCATTTGATAAATTCCCGACATTTGAAAGGACAGTGTTATTTGTTGAATTTTTTTAAAATGTATTGAAAGTTCGAATTTCAGAAAAATAGATTCAGTTGTCCACGACGTTACACGATGTACGATGTGCACAGATGTCTGCACGCTGAGAAAAAATAGAAATATACACAAGTGTTGGATAGTGCAATTAATTATTTGAACATGAGTTTTATGATGACCGATCAATTTTAATATGCCTGTAATCGCTATTGAGTCATAACTGCACGAGTCTTCCGATTAATTTTCAATATATACGCCAACAATAGGTACCAAACTACATAAAATGTGCGTCCATATCGCACAGTTGTGCGGTAGAAACTGTGTAGTGCTCGTGTGCGCACATCGTGCACGCATTGTAGCATGATTGGCACATGACTCACGCAAAATGTGCACACAAAGGCTTTGATGCGTCGTGCTTTACCTCATCTATATATGTACATAGAGAACTTTATATTCATTTCCATGATTTATGAAATGACATCATTCTTTTCTTTTCTATAATCTGCAAATTAATCCTAAATTCCGTTAAAGCCGATGTAAAGAAATTTATTATGCTAGTTTTAAAATCCATGTTATTCATTTGTGACCTCCCATGTTAATGAATTGTAAAGCTAGTTACGTCTACGTTAAGTACTTTAAGAATGTTTTAGCAATAGTGTTCGGACACTGATAGCACAAAAACTGATAATAATACATTTTGACATTTTTAATCTTTGGAGGTCATCTTACCAACGGGCTAAGATCTGTTGAATACCCTGCATTGTAGTAGTACTTCACATCACACCCTACAATTCTTCCGTCTTTCTTAAAATACACCTGGAAATACAACATACCAATTAATCACACACACTAGTAAAGATAGATCAATATTACTCTTACTGTACTTATATAGTAGACGTTTTTCATCATTCGTGGTATAATATACTATTATAGAGTGTATTATGTGTCAACCACTAAGGGGTTTGCTATAAAGATAAATAAATGGTATCCAAAGCGCGATCCTTACATCTACAGCATCACTTACCTTGTACTTCGCTTCAATCGGATGTCTTTTGCCTGTTATTTTAAAATCAAGTTCTCGATCGTAGATGCATCTCACCGGCCGGTTTGTTCTTTAAAGTTTTAAAGTACAGTTTTACGTTCGCTGTATATGCACACGTATATCAAGTGAATTAACATTCATTCCAGTGTAGTTTTATGTATTTATTCACTAATTTAACACATTTTACTTCTTTCCCTGAACATTTCGAATTTTATATCAAATTGAGCATATTTATAAAATCTGAATTGAAATATTAGCCAGAATGAACTTATTAGCGGGAAGAAAATCAATATTGTGTTTTCAATGAATGATTATTAATTCGACTTACTTCCATGCTCCGATAGCTGCTATACCCGAAGTTACTATTGAATCTGTAGCTTTTCCACCAAATCCACCACCTATAATGTCAAAATGTAAACTCATCGATGTTGTTGATGTTTCATTATACCAGCATCCAACAAAATTGGTCAAATCCATTCATCAAGATGCATTTTAGCCATATCCTTATATATTTTTCTTGTTTAGATATGTAAAATATCATACGTATACGCAACAAGCAGATGGTCATTGAGTAGAAATGACATTACACTTACCTACACGCTTAACTCTGGATGAGATACGATTGCTATCTAATCCGAGAAATTTGGCGACATCTTCCTACACACCAAAAATATTTAAATGTACAGAAATAATGGTCTTAAGATTAAAGTACAATTTTAAGTCGGGCATTATTGTTCTTTTGCTGATTCAAGTTCTTCATGATTTCATTGTATACAACTAATGATAAGAAGAACTAGGCCATCATTCGGTTTCATGGTGCCCTCATGGTAAAAATAGTTGTTGGTATAGTGTCATAGTTCATGGTAACAAATTAAGCCCGGCTGCTATCACTGCTTTGTAATCCATCAAAGGAAAAAAAAATTCTTCAATTCGAAAGTTGGTCATTGTCATTAAGTGGAAACAAAGTTCTCTTTCACAATATGCTACAGACCAAACACACGGGTTCTTTGTTCTTTTCCTAATAAATCTAAAACTTTCATTGCAATGAAAAGTCGGAAGGAGTCATGATGGCAGTAAAAATTGAATCGAAATGTTGTACTTTGCATGCCTTTGAACTACCGAAGGATTAACAATAACTGGTAAACATAATGCAGAACTATAAAGTTCTGAATCTGATTTAAATCTACGCTTGGATGTGAATACTAACCTATTTCTAGCTGAAATTGTCAACAAAAGTTGTGATGACCATGTGTTTATATCAACGTTGGTAGTCACAGAATCTGTTACCTGTAATTGCGTGACACCTTGTGTGGAAGTGATAATGTCAAGTTCGTTCTGTTCCTTCCTAGGGATGACCAGGGAGGAATGGGGTTCCATATACAAATGTTCCTGGGCCCCTGTCTCACACACTCCTTCCAACACAAAATCTGCTTCCTTCTCTGCCTCCTCCATACATCCACGCTCCACTTTGTAAGCATGTCCAAAAAACTGTTCTTTCATGATGGCATCCTGTAAGATCAAAGATAAATACCGTGCTCGTTAACCACTCTTTGGTTTTGTAATGTTTCGGTATCATAATCGATTAAGCAATTGATAAATAACATCAAGCTTACTTAAAAAGGGGGTGAAAACCATAATGGTATGAATTTACAAATAAGTGAAATATAATAATTAGTATGCTAATGTACACGCAATATCAACAGATATATCATTATTTTTGTGTTTTATCTTCAGTAAAATTGTATCGTTTCTGTATGTAAAAAATATATTTCTATGTGTGTTATTTTGGCATGTTTGTTGAGCAGTTATTAAGTTTGTCGAATCCTACTTGGATTGATATTGTTGCTTCTAAGGGTTCGTATTTAACTTCCACCAGTTTGACAGCACGGTTCGCAATTTCTCTGGACTCTGCTAGAATGACACAAATCGCCTGGCCATGGTAAGATACCTAGATTGATAACAAAATAGAACATAAGTATCATTTGTGATAATACAAAGACATACATAAATATACAAATGCCATACCGGTTTTCATTTCAACAGTGTAATTTCACTGAAATTTAACGTAGTACGCATATTCTCTTTACATTCTTCACCATTAATACCGACTCAGTGTTCCCTTCATGCATCATATGGCAAAGGACTAATTACACAGATAACAAAACAGGATAAAATTCTTTGTTGAACATTACTAACATATTTCGTCCATTCAAAAATATGGGAACCAAACACATTGCAAAATTACGTAGATTAAGACATAAAACGGATAGAAAAAAAAAAACAACAAGAAATAAACAAACGTGTACTCTTCATAACACTACACAAGACTTACAGTACATTTAGATATTTTAGCACCTTTTACCATCGGCAGTATGGAATGAGTAGGTGAACATTCATCTCAATAATCACGGCAATGACACGATAGAAACTAACGGGAAAGTGTGAAAAATTATATCCGTAGCGTGTCCCTATCACGTCATAATTGTTGTCATATCAGCGGTCCGCCGTACAAATAGTTTTCTCATATAATTGATTACAATGTCAGTAGTAAAAATCTATTTTGTAGTTTAAATAACATCAAAACATACATAAATTTTAGAGAAGATATAAACAAGTAAATGGCTTGGTAAGTGATTTATGCCCAATTTGAATGACATACTTTGCAGGCATACAAATATGTCATAAGTAAAAGGTTTAACTCTTCAATAACATTTCACATACCTCATCCTGACATAAAAGAACATTGTCTGGCACTAGGAAACCGTAATTATTGTCGCAAGGAATATCCTTGTAGTCTATGTAGTCAATTACTCCTTCCATTTCCAATGCTGCCGACACGTCCACCGATAGAATCTTTGCATGAGCATGTGTACTGGTAACAAGTCCAGCAAACAGTTCGTCTAAACATCACACAAAAACATTTTAGCATATATATATAAGCACTAGTCTCAAAATGTAATGTTCTAAAATCATAAAATGCTAGAAAGAAAAATTGAATATGATTTTAAATATCAAACCACTTATCAGTTTCACTATGGTATATAATATATAATACTATATACTTGTAGCGCTTGGGATATCGTCAACGAACTGCGCTTCTCCAGCAGCAATGTATCCTGACGTCACATTAGGTATAGGTTTCCATACGGCTTTGGTATCACTTTCGTCTGGAATATCGTATACTTGGATACCGGACGTGGGTATGTGCGACAACCCTGCAGGGAACTCGGAACAACCCGTCTGAAAATGGAATGTCCATGTTTTAAAAAAAAGTTCTTTTGATCTTTTCATGTTCAAACAGATTTAGATTGGAATTTAAATTAACTGAATAATAGTTACCTCTAGTTCCGCTTTTATCTTCATGAAGAATTTCAGGAAGAAGCTACAAGCTAGTGTAGTTCTGAAAGGTATATTGGTATATGCTGTGCTTTGCAGTTCAATCATCAGGGCGTCGTTGACTTTCTCTAACATGTCTTCGTTCCAAGATCTCAAAAAAATAACACATGATTATAGCGAGCTTTAATCCTTAACCAAACGAAATATTGATTGTCGTATGAAATATTTTTACCTTTTGATAGCCACGTTTACTGCCCTCGTGGCTAGTACTGGTTTGTCGTCAGTGCCACCAAATGCCAACCTCATATTCTGAACCACTGTAGTCCCTTTTTCGAACTGAACGTACAATCCTGTGGTTACGACTCCATAGTCAAATCCACGACGATTTGGTTGTTTTAATCCCGACATATGTTCGTCCTAAAAAAGGATGCAAGTGCCTCTACCATTTATTCACAACTTTCAAGATCTAACATTTTGACAGCATCAATTCCAACATTCGTCCGTAAGATAAGATTGGCTACACATAAAATATAGCGATCATGATATCAATAACGAAAAAAAATTATGGAAACATTTTGTTCCCATCAAACAAATTGTTGAATGAAAGGGATAGGCAATGAAATTTGGAGTAAGTATTGAATAGTTATTAAATTGATTTGAAATATGAGTTAATCTCTCATCGATATAATTATGAACATTAACGCAAATACAGTTTGTGCCTACTTTTCATATGTTCCGTGAAATCATCAGGACCGCATATCATGAATATCGTTTTAATCGCTGATATATTCAACTGCATGGGCATTGATGCCATAAGATATATGCGTACCACGGTTATTGATATACTCATGAGTTGTACGTACATCTGACAACAGAGGAACCCGAATAGAAACCAATATCTGGTCCTGATAAACATTATTTTTGGCGCTGTGTACGAAATCATTGTCCATCGGTACCTCCTGTACACCTGCAACAGGCATCGCATTTGAAAATCACATGCTCGGATATATCTTAAGTGCAGAAAGCAAATAATTTGATTACAATGTCATCAAACATCAAAATCAAATGAGTTAATTTACACTTTTAAAACGCTATTTCGATATTGACATAAATACCTCCATTCATTTTCCTGAATTCGAGAACTGCCCCGGCAGCCATGAAGAAAGTTTGCATGTCTAGGTTTGGGATCTTGCTCATCACATGACCGCCCAGTGTCTAGGAAATTAGAATAATATATTTCAAGAGGTAAACATGCAAAAATATATCATATAATATTCAAATACATCAACTGCCTTCACCGGAAACATAGAAAACCTGTCTGTGTACAGGGAGACTTACAGCTGTGTTTTTTATTTGATCCGCCGCAACCCATCGCAAAACGTCCAACATTGCAGAAATGGTCTTGTTTGCTGAAATACAATCGTGAAGATTTATACTCATGCATTTTTAGCTCGCTTTCACACGACACCATCCTGAATGATTAACATTTTTAGGTTTCTCATTATTATAAACTTTCTCCTAATTTGAAAATATCATTTTCTTTAAGGTGGAAAATAACGCTGTATTGTGGCATTTGATTGATTGGAATTTAAAGAATGTTTGCTTTCTATGAACTTAGTAGCTATGTAATGACACTGCAACAACACTTCCTAAAATGGTTTCTGGGTGAAAATATGATTAGTTGAAACTAATGAATATTACGTCTTTCTGATCACCCTCGGCTGATGAGAAAATAATTACATTTCACGGCTAAAAGCTCTGATTCTAGTTGTCCCATGGTAACTCCAGCACCAATCCTGATTTCAGAAGACGTGAATTGCACACATTGCAGTTCCGGTAGGTGGGTACAGCAGATAATCACATTAGAAGTCATTGCCCCCTTTCGTAGCAGGTAACCTAAGATAAGACGGAAAGGGACAATGACATGCTCATATATGCTTTCATATACGTATTGCCTTTTACTGATTGTTTTATAGCCCTTTCCTGAATGCATTGTAATTTTTCCCGGAGGTCAATTTTGCGCGGATTTATTAAAAACTTGATGTCAAATGGATTTTAAAACCGGAAGTTATGAAACGGACAATTTACCTGTTTGAACCTTTATTATCGATCTCATTTTGATACAAGGCCTGAAAATATTAATATAAACAGCATTTGAAAGTAACAACTATCACTGTCTCTGTATGATTAATTCGCAATACACAGAAAAAGCATTCTTAACGCATTGTGCCACTTAATTCAATCACAATTCTGTGTTGTAATATTGCATTTCTGAACACTTTTCAGCTGTATTCAGAAAATATTGATCAATTAATAAGCTTCTCTTCTGCTTCGCGTAAGCATTTATCACTCACCAATTGTATTACAACCAAGGACAAACTGGGCTTTCGGGAAGTTTGTCAGGAGTCTGAGAGCCTCTTCAACTGTTGTTGGTCGATACCAAGTGTATTTGCTACTTTTAAACGTCATAAACTTAGTGTGGTAGGCCGAGTTTAACTGGAACACATTAGAAATAAACCTGACTTTACGGACAAAAACTCGGTTTTCCGATTCTGTTTCTTTCTGCCAATTAATTATCAGATCCATCATTTTCGTTCCAGTTTTGTTATTTCTTTGATAAGAATTATATCAGATTAGACATAACCTTATAAGTTTGAGTCAGATTGAGAGGTTTTCAAAACTAAAGTATTTTTTCGATCAATTTATGAAATCAATAAATTCAAATATCATCGCTAGAGCTGCCTTGCCATGCGATAGTGACTATTCCAGCGAAGAGGATAATAAAAGACATTTGTTCTGGGTTTAATGTAACATAAATGCATTCCACACCAGTTTAAAAAAGTAGGTTGTATCAGCATTTTCAGTTAATCGGGAAGATTCGTCATTTCCCTCCTACAAAAATGGTTTTACGTAAAATTCGCTATTTTACTCCATCACCGAAAAGTAAACAAATAGTATAATAATAAAGGCAAAATGCAAAGAACATAAACAAAATATCGGAGTTAATTTTCATTGTCTTCGCTGAATGTTCTGTTAATCAGGATTTAAGTGAAAACTAAAAAGTATAGCCCAATACAAATCATTTTAAAAGAAACAACTTCTAAAGGGGTGATATGTGATACCGGTCATCACTACCACGACTGTATTTGTCGATTATACAAGAAATATAGACACAACGGGATGTGCATTACAATTTGAAAAATTATAAGAATGAATAACCATGCAATATCAGCGTACATTAATTAGCTGTTTATATATATATATATATAGTAAAGTTCCACAGCCATGCGCATTTGTATCACTTTGTATAGGAAGGAACATATATAATCATGCCATCAACAAATAAAAACAAAACACAAATACGTAGATAAGTGCTTACAGCTGTTTCAAATCATCCTTTTCATCTTCTTTTACATACATGCTTATTAATAGTGGTACTTTATCATCCTATACAAATCTGGAATCAGTTCAAACGAATACCTCAAACAATATGAAGGCGATGATATTTCAGTGGATAAAGCAAAGGGCAATTAAACCTCAAGTGATTATCCATGGATTGCACAAGGTTCGAGCTATCACTACCAGAGGCATATTTGTCGTCCTGGTGGCCATTTTAACCTACATACTTTGCATAGCTTACGACAGGCATCCAACATGTTGTTCGGTGAGAAAACAGTCAGCTACTCTACGGAATTCTCGCCTCAACCTACAGATTATCATGGCGGTTGACAAGGAACTCTCATCAAAATGAAAATATTATAAGCAACTTAGTATCGGCCATATTTACGATATTTAAAATATTGACATCATTATCTATAATTAATTATAAAATCAAAACACACAAAGATTGCTCCTAACATGAACTATCAATGATATGTAATTATTGAAATGAAATCCGTCAAACACAATCCTGTGTTTTGTTTTACCTGTAATTCCGGTGGAAAGATGACATCTTGTGTCGTCGCGCTCTTCGGTTCATCATTTGATTTCTCATCCTGGTCTCTTGTTTCTGTCCTGTCCGATTCCTCAAGACAAAGCCCCAGTCCACAAGGACAATTCTACAATATTCATCGTTTTTGCCATCAAGTCAGTAATGTAAATAAACTGAAATCTTACACGAGTTTTTGAGGCCATCATGAAATCTTTGTGCTGTCTTGCTTTATATTGTTTAGATAACTCGTAATGAAACAGAAACATGTAGATTACAGTATGCAAATATTAGAGACAGCTACTTTAAAATGATAACCAAACTCCTATACATTAGATGGATAGAGAGACACTGATGCTACATCAATACGACAAAATCATTTTGACCTCTATGAAAAGCGATTAAAACTAGCACTTCCTGTGAAATGTTGAAAGTGTAATAGAAAAATATATTGATAGTTACAGTACCATAGAGCTCGAAATTCACTCCCACTCAATAGCAGACATAATTGTGTATACAATAAATAAACTGACCATCTTAATAGACCTGGAGGTGTTTACAATAGGTCTATTACCTCTTTGGAAGACCTAATGGTGTCTACATTATGTCTACATACCTCTTTAGCAGACCTAAAGGCATCTACAATAGGTCTATATCCTGTACATCGACAAAGATTTCCTGCAAATCGAAATGCGTAGTTACATAAGATCAATTATAAGATGCAACATTCTGTTGTTGTTCCTTGTGAAACACAACAAACTTTCTGTTCTAAAAGGATTCGCATTCACATATATCTTTCATTGGATCTTTATTTATTTCACACACCTTCAAGAGCTCTCTCCATTTGCTGTTGCGTAGGGTTCGGATTATTTCTGAACAATGTATACATTGTCATCACCATCCCCGGGGTACAGAATCCGCACTGAAGGCCATGAGACTCGACGAGACTTTCCTAAACATTTAAATATAGATAATTTACTTCTGTGTTTAATATATCAATATAAACAATTCTTGTACATTTAGATGTATTTTGTAAAAGATATACATATTTTTAGTAAATTGTCGCACAATAAAATAATAGGACGAGATATGTTCTGAACGGATAGGTGTCACACGGCAATTTCATATTTGACATGACTACTTCGTCTTGAATAAATTAGTCACAAATTCGAAAAGTTGCTGCAGGAAGGCCTTCTAAAAGCTTCAAAAGATATACCTGCATGTATGGTTTTGACGCCGATAGTAAGTAACCTACTTATCATATAATATTGATTTACAACGGACTTACCTGCACGGGATGGAGACCGTTGCGCGTACTGCCAACACCTTCCACAGTGGTGACTGCCATTCCGTGGAGGTAACATAATGGAATCAGACAGGCATTCACTGAAATGTTTCTGTAAGCGCAGAGTATATCAAATCGTTATATATCTTATTGTAATGAACGTAAATTTTTCTCCATATCAAAAGTAATTCCTTCGTAATAGAGATACGTGTCTCTTCAATTAATGATTTCTTTACCTGATTTTCTTTGTAGTGATGTTTAAGTAAGAGACCATGACGGTACATGCCCCGCATGCCCCCTGTCCACATGCCAGTTTGGTACCTGTTAGATATACTGGTTCCACCATAAAGGATAAACAAGATTCTTTAAATAATATATACGTAAATCATAATACAGCATTTTAAGTGTATGAACGACCAATATATAACGCACTCTATAATAATAGTGATCATCCAGGTGTTTTCCGTTAAAGCTGGCGAATAAGTATTGACCTTGAGTGACTTCAATTCATATTTCGTGTTAATCAGCTGTGACGAACATGAATAATTGAGAAGGATGTGTGAACAAATTTCAGGAAGAAAAAGGATACGTGATCTACGCAGGTACTGTAAAAGTGTCAATTCCGGATCCGGTTCCAAGATTCGAACCTTAATAGAAAGAAATGTCGGTTATCATTATCACCAATGGACTTGATATAATTTATGTAGAATCGATTCATGTTATATGTTTCCACTGGAAAGTCATTTCCAACTAGCTACAATGAACAACTGTAAGCATATGTTAATAATTTCCCAATTCAGAGCAGATCAATAGGTTTTTTTCTATTAGCAAACGTTTTGTGATTATCTATGTTTTATGCATCAAAGGTCATACCTAACGTGATAATGTGTATTTGTTATTATCAGAGCAATTTTTTTTTTGTTCATCCAACATTTTAACTTCCAAGTTACCTACATGATCGACTTGACTGACTTATCCGTAACTTATATTCTGTTAGCTATAGCCATCCTTGTGGAAATCTTCAATAAAATAAATTCATATGTGTGTGGTTTTTTGGTTTTGGGTTTTTTTCCCTCGGTAAAGTACCGATTTTTTCATCATTTACATCCAGAATGACGGTTAACTCATTCATGTGACCGCAAAGATGTGTTACTGCATTTAATTTATACTCGTGATTTGAAATAAAGCATGTAGTGTGAATATCTACTGTCATATACATCGCTATATTTATCAGAATGATACGTTATCAGTAGATAATTTAATCAGAGACGACCATACTATGAATTGTCTGGTAATGTGAGTAGGTGACTCTGCCATACATGATTTTTATATGTAATATTCAACGTATAAAGAGTTATTGGTATATATACTTAAATATGATAACAAGAAGCTATTAGCCCTCAAGGATATATCGAGTGGCTGCGACTTTACACCCCAGTTAGATACGAATAGAACGTAGTAAGGTAGAATCATCAGAAAATGATTTTTTACTAATCAAGATAAAGTTTTAGAGCTGGAAGTGTTCAATACAAAGTCAGTTTTCCTAACACTGTACCTCTAGTAAGCTGTTTTTATGTATTTGTTCTTATGCATTTCTTCCCCGTTTTTTTTGTTTTTTCTTTTGTTTGTTTTTATAGTAATTAGGTAATGTTCATCAAATCACCTCTACTGACATTATCCTATCTATACGGTCACCGTAGATGCTTTTAATTGTCATTATTTCACAGTTGTGGTATTTAGTGTCTCGGTTAAGGGAAACAAAAACAAAAAACCAAGATGAAACAAAACTTTTTTTAACGCTGAAACGGAACTGAAATTAAAGATATATGGATGAGGTACGAAATACGATTTAAATTTGAATTAATGATATTTGTAATGCATATCTGATATTCAAAGTTCTTATTGACAGTGAAGATTTATTACATAAAACGTTATAGATCACGTATAATGCTTTTCCCGGATGCAACCTAGATATACGACATGGCTGTCATTCTTTACGTTCCTTTGTGAGAATGTAGAGTTAAATAGCACAAGACGAAAAGTTGTACTTGCTTATCATATGGTAAAACTTAATAAACACAATCGGTCATCTGACAATCGATGGATGGAAGGACAAACTTGAGAATTTGTAGATGGTGGTCTGACAAATCTAATGAACCCCCAGAATAATAATTCTGACCACATTTGGTATAAATCCATTCATGCATTATCATTGACTAACTTTCCAATTTAGGGCCCCATCCCCAGATTCCTAGGGGTTGAATCAATTTTCTGAATTTTTGGAAATGTTAAGCCACCCACAAGGACGTTTCGGACTAAGTTGGGTTGAAATGCATTCAGTCATTCAGGAAGAGTAGCGCTTTGAAGCAAAATATTTAAGGCCCCGTTCCCAAGTCCTTACAGGTCGATTCAATTTTCCGAATCAATGAAATGATAACTCATTTGCAACAATATTTCAGATCAAATTTTGTTGAAATCTACACATGCATTAAGAAGAAGTGGCGTTTTCAAGCATTAAGGAAGAGTTCCCCTTTTAAAGTCCTGGCACTATTGAGTCCCTTGGGGTCAAATCAACGTCATGAATTCAAGAAATGATTCCCTATCCACAATGATATTTCATACCATATTTGGTTTAAATCCATTCAAGCTTAAAGGAAGAATAGCGTTTTGAAGCAAAATATTGACTAACGTCCCCATTTGGGGCCCCGCCTCCAGTTTCCTTTGGTAGAATCAACTTTCTGAATTTAGGAAATGATAACCCGCCTGTACCAACATTCCGGATCAAATTTGGTTGAAATATATCCAGGCATTAAGGAGAAGCAGCGTTTTTGAAGAAAAATATTGACTAACTTCTCCTTTGTGCCCCGTTCCCAAGTCCCTAGGAGCCGAATCATCATTCTGAATTATAAAAAATGATTATCCATCCTCAATGATGACTAAGACCACATTTGGTTAAAATTTGCCCGGCGTTTAGAAGGAGTAGTGTTTAGGAATAGTTTACTGAAGGCGAACGGCTCATGTATTGTTATGCACTATAACTTAGCTTTCAAATTCCTTGTCCTGTTTAACATCAGTCTATGGCTAATAAGGTACATATAGGTATATATGATAATGCATAGTGTGACCGAGGTCACATTTTGGAGTGCTGATAGAAACATTAAAATGCTTGAAAAGTCCATGTTTATGCATCAAGTCTACCAAATAAGTATGTCCCTTTGACATGGACATGCCACGAGAGAGTGCTTGATTTAAGCCCTGTATTAACAACATTGATCCAAATGAACATGCTGTAAAAATAGACTCTTGTGTTTTTTTTTACCATATCATCTACAATTCAAATCATTTAGGGTAGTTGCGTATGTACCTGACTACATGTATATATCCATAGGTATTGATCTGGAACATGGCAATTGATATCAGAATTTTTGCATTGTAAGCTTTAAAATTGAATGTACCGTGTCCTCCATGATATTAAATGTGATATATTAGTGTTGTTATCTTTTATGACGTCGGGGACAAAACAACTGTGTACATGACTATTTTGTGGAATATAATGGTCTTGATATGAAGGCTAAAGTTTTTTGTGTTGATTTTCTTCCAGTCGATTAAGATGCAGATTTTGTTTCCAGTATATAACCAGATATATCAGAACGTTAATTTGCCCATATTGATAGACGATGAAATGAGCACGCTAATATTATTAATTAATAGATTTTACACTCTGACATGTCAAGCAAACAATGAGAAACAATTGTATAAAAATCAAACTATGAAATAGTAAGAGCGTGTGTAAATACCTTTTTGCCGTTAACGAAGAACACAAGTAAATCTGTAGAATCCATGGTGGTTGACTTGTGTGATCTGAATCCAGTTGTTTTATCGGTAGCCTTTCTATGTGGTTTAATGTCAACAACTATGCCACCAAAGTAAACACGCCTTGTAATCAGTGTACCATGTGACACTGAGTTTACTTAACAATAAAATGAGTGAGTCAATTTTCTCTGATCTAAAAATTATATATATTGATATAGGTAAAAGTAGTTAATGCATCCGAAATTCAGAATATATTTACATACCGGCGTAGCTTTAAAATGTGACATTCAACCAGTCTAAACTTCGCTAGCTATCTTAGTGATACACATCAGGAAACATTAACATCCCTTTGTTAGATCGGATATCTACTACACATATTTCTGATAGCTGACACCTCAAAAACTGCATGCGACTATGTTACTAGTAATCCGAGGGAACATAGATTTTTCCTGTAGATTTACCTGTGGATAAGAATCGAATGTAAAATGATTCATGCTACTTTAGCTGTACAGTAATTATATTTTCACTCATCAGATTGCACACCTGAGTGAAGGGAACGCAAGCTTATAGAATTAGAGAGAAAAAAACGCAGCGACAACAATGAATGTTATTTTGTCATACAATATTGAAATACACACGATGATGCGACCATTGCGTCACTGTCTAAGATTAACAAAATGGCGACACACAGTTTGGCGGCAAATTACTAAGCATTATTCCCTTTTAACATATCCTATAATACCTTAAAACGAATGATATTGTGGATTGATATCATGATACGTTTGCTATCCGTTTACTAGCTGGATTGCTAAAATAAACTGTGCAGATGTCGCTTATCTCCGATCTCAGTTGTCTTTGATGTTTGATGAATGTCACGTTTAGGAATCTCCTAATTTATGTATATCATTATAGCAATTCTGTAAGCATCCACAATCACGGTGGCAATTAGCAAACTAAATGTTTTGTGTCGTACAATGTTCTCAACATTATTATATCTACTTCACATTGATCCTATTTTAGCAGGAAAATGTCTGTGTATAGTGGTTTTTAAAACAATGATCCCTGGATAACTAGCATCCGGAGACAGGATAACCAAATCAAAACATTCTTTTCCAACAAATAGCAAATCGCAATAAATATATTGGTTACTTTCTAAATTATTTCCTGATATGAAATCAATGCTCTATGTTATCAATTCCAAAGTATACAGAAATAAAATTAATATTCAGATTGCCGGTCTAAAACCATCATCAAGGAACAGCTTTTTGTTTCAGTACTTCTGATATAATAGCAACAGGACCAACAGCTTGATTTTTATAGTACATGAATTTTTCATGCTTCATTTGTATATACAGATTTCACCGTTTATTCCGTTGTTATTCAGTCAAACAAACATTCAAAAGCTTGAAAAGATAGACATAACGATAATATACGTTGTGCGTATATCATCCGAACACATGCACGTTTCAGTACCTATCTAGGGCACAATTGTGCGATACGGTGCACATTTTGCACGGGCTTGATTATTATCGCTATTTCTGAACGAGAATTTTCAAACCTCACGCAATTAAGACAAAACAGAGAAAATAATAAAAAGAAGGCAAAGGCCCAACAAGAGCAAAAAAGACCGAACAATAGTGGGCGCCAAGATTCCTTTGGGATATCCTGTTCAGCAATACAATGTATAAGACGACACACATACCGCGGTTCACTTCATAGTTAATAAAGTATCTTGACCCCGTTCTGTAACATTATACTTTACAATACATGTCCCACTGGTGTATGTAAATGAAATGGGTATTCTGACAACCTAAGAGTATTTTGTTTCATGCTTTTATACATGTACCTAACTCGGGAACATTTTCTCACAATCATGTATTTAGGTCATTTGTGCCTTTATTCGTTTTGTCAGGTTTAAAAAGTACTTGTTGGCAAGATGACACAAAATATGTAAGTTGGCAAGGTGACACAATATATGTACGAATTTTTTGACATTGTCAGTCTGTTTTCGGCCATCGTGAAGAATAAACAACAGTACCTTATATTCAAAGGTAGACGGTTAGAAGTACAAATAAATCACTTTTCTATATATTTTCACAAGATTAGCTAAATATACATTAGGGAATATAGTGTTCTTGATTATATTTAGATAAACATGTCACATGATAGATAAGATACTTTAATATTCCGGTTCGTTCTTGTCAAGAAGCAATTACTAAACTCGGTGTTACATAGCGGTTGAAATAACATTTGTCTAAACCTTCGAGTCATATCAAATCATTGAACTGATTTATACATTATTATGATACGCCCCTGATTAGATTCAATATTGTCGTAATTAAAGTGATGACGCGATGTACATAGCGCTGATCACAATGGCATATTTCATTGTGAAAATAACTTGCAATTAATATTACACAAAAAAGGTTGTTCGTCTCCGTTACACGTCCTTTTGTACTCGTTGCCTTACCGACGAATGGCATTGTTCTGCTTGCGAGGATGCAGCATAAACTAGTACTAGTTGGTAGGCAGTTGACTAAGGGAATTCAGCATAATGTGTAATGCACGTTTCGTAGTATCATTGTTTTAATCAATTTTCAGAACTGTTTTCAGAGTGGCGACGTATACTTTTAATGAATAAACAGCTCACATTCCTCTGTTCAGTTTAAATTGACGATGCTGAGGTGAATTTTTATATCATTATATGCTGATATTTATATCTCGTAGATTAATACTTGGCCAAACATTATCTATCCAATTTATCTTGTAAGATGTTCTATTGGTGAATTATGTGATGTTTGACAAATATCATAAGTAAAGCACGTGATAACCCGTTGTTACAACCCAAAGCTACCTGTGGTTTACCTGTACAGCTGTAGCTACACCTTACCTGCCAGTACTATCTGGTTTTTTTTATTATTTATTCAAGCGAATACATAAAAGCAAAACAAAAAATATCGAGTTGGGTGAAATTTTTATTCAACACGTTAAGCTGAATGTGTATTAATCTTGCTTCGGATGCGGATGATTTTGCGTCACTTTTGCTTTACCTTATTTATGCATAAGTTTTGCAGAAATCATTGTGGCAGATTATGAGCCCCATCTAAGACTTGTTCGGTAAATTTTAAATGATAAACTTTGAACTAAATAACAAATGTCGTTTACTATAATAAACGGCCAGATTCAATTCACATCTTGTGTTCTAGTTGTTATTTCTATGACGGTCTTACTAGCTTGCCATAGTGGAGGTCCGGTATAAATGCAAATTAAAACAAGTTTTAATGTTATTTATACAGGCTGATTGTGTTTATATGTAAGGATTCTATTATTAGCGGAAGGAGGTAATTTGGGGTTGGAGCAAGGTGGTCCAACTGTCGCCCGCGCGCTATTTTAAGACCGCTATAAATACAAATGACGCAGCATTTTCTATTCAGAAGCTGACAGCAGAATATGGCGGAACAAGGTTCGTACGGTCAAGGCCAGTTTATTTAATTTATATTAGTCTATTTATATCATTGGAAAACTAAAACATTTTCATACAACTTTAGCCCACCACCATCCCCTACTTTCCTCCGTTCCTTTTTTGAGTTTTTATCTCTTGTTTATTGTTCTTTCAAGGCCTGTTATATTTGTTCCAAACTTGGCTGATGAGATCTTTTCATTAGTTTCAATCTTACATCAAATATGTATAGGAAGTATCCTTCATAAAATTGTTCCAAGCGTTTTATGCTTATGTACATGACTCGTCATATCCACTCTGTTAAGTTTGTGTAATTTCATAAAGTCATTACCTAAGTTGTTGATTAGGTTACTCAGAGATGTATATATATATATATACGTCTCTTGGTTACGGAACTTGTACCATCCAATAATTCACAATTGATGGTAATTTTCTTACCCTGGAGTATTGCATCCAGGTATGTCATGTACTTGTTATATGCTGTAAAATTTTCCTTCTTTAAATTTCATATCTGATAAATTTGTACGATGTTTGTTTTTCTTAACTTGAGCTGTACTGTCTTATGTTTATGTATGATGTCAAATTTTCCTTCTATGATTGGGTATATTTATGTATGATGTGGTGGCAGATTATGAGCCCCATCTAAGACTTGTTCGGTAAATTTTAAATGATAACTTTGAACTAAATAACAAATGTCGTTTACTATAATAAACGGCCAGATTCAATTCACATCTTGTGTTATAGTTGTTATTTCTATGACGGTCTTACTAGCTTGCCATGGTGGAGGTCCGGTATTATCTTATATTCCTTTTTCAAGTAAAATGAATATATCATCTTTGTTTACGGTCAGAATTGAGTGTAAGCGTCTTCCATCATCTAGTTTTTTTATGTAAACTAGTAAAATATTTCGGTGATTACTTTTAAAAACGCTCATCCATATCCCTCACAAACTGCCTACTTCCCTTATTCTTATAAACTGGTACGTGTCCTAGATACAGTGACATATTCATTGACCCGGAATCTTTATCACAGCATATCTGTACGTATATCAAACATTTTGGACACTGAAAAGGTGGATATGGCAGTTGAAATATGTCTCATTGAAATCTTCTGTCTCACGAGACATCAACAAAATACAATACCATGTTTAATAGTTTTGCTGCCTTTCAGTAAAGAGCACCAGTTATTGTATTGTGATAATCGGCATGCAGTTGATCAAATCAGGGTCCAGACGTTAAACAATCTCTTCATAAACACGAACAAAATACAATATAAGGCTATATTGTTTTAATTGTGAGACAAAATTACTTGTTATCTCATTATATATTTTTATATACGTAATAGGTAACATTACAATAACTATATTGAACAATGACTTACCCCAGTACTATTCTTGTCCGCCCTTGTATCTGATCACAGACTTAGATCTCTCCGTCGCCTTATAATGAAAACAAATTAATATCAAAGCTACGTTGAATTCATCTAATGTGAGACATAAACGTGTAGTCCAACATATCCCCTATGCTTCTGACGCCATTATGAAATGATACTCTGTAAAAAGTACATTTC